GGTTTTAGTGAGCTGTGTTCACTCTAAATGTTTACAAGCAGAGCCAACGATTTTAAACGTGGGGGGGGGGGGGGGGGGAGGGGGGGAAGGAAGGGGGGGGGGGGGGGGTTATGGTCCTTAACGAGCTACTTATAGTGTTTTAAAGAAATATTTTTAGTGTCAGCGTTGGTACTGTCGAATTCACAAATTATGAATTATTGAAAATTAGAAACAACTAAATAGCGGCGTATGTTATGCCGCGGGCCGGCTCGTCTATATATATAATTCTCTTCTTCGAGCCGTTAGAAAACAAGCTGCAAACGCTCTCCCTACTTCCCCACCCCTACATCTATCTATATATATATAATTCTCTTCTTCGAGCCGTTAGAAAACAAGCTGCAAACGCTCTCCCTACTTCCCCACCCCTACATGGTTTTAGTGAGCTGTGTTCACTCTAAATGTTTACAAGCAGAGCCAACGATTTTAAACGTAGGGGGGGGGGGGGGGGGGGGGGGGGAGGAGGGGGGGAGGGAAGGAAGGGGGGGGGGGGGTTATGGTCCTTAACGAGCTACTTATAGTGTTTTAAAGAAATATTTTCAGTGTCAGCGTTGGTACTGTCGAATTCACAAATTATGAATTATTGAAAATTAGAAACAACTAAATAGCGGCGTATGTTATGCCGCGGGCCGGCTCGTCTATATATATAATTCTCTTCTTCGAGCCGTTAGAAAACAAGCTGCAAACGCTCTCCCTACTTCCCCACCCCTACATCTATCTATATATATAATTCTCTTCTTCGAGCCGTTAGAAAACAAGCTGCAAACGCTCTCCCTACTTCCCCACCCCTACATGGTTTTAGTGAGCTGTGTTCACTCTAAATGTTTACAAGCAGAGCCAACGATTTTAAACGTAGGGGGGGGGGGGGGGGGAGGAGGGGGGGAGGGAAGGAAGGGGGGGGGGGGGTTATGGTCCTTAACGAGCTACTTATAGTGTTTTAAAGAAATATTTTCAGTGTCAGCGTTGGTACTGTCGAATTCACAAATTATGAATTATTGAAAATTAGAAACAACTAAATAGCGGCGTATGTTATGCCGCGGGCCGGCTCGTAATATATAATTCAAGAAACACTGCCGGCCTCAATATTTGCCTTATAGATTTAGTTGCCAACGGCACAGTAAAAAAAAAAATAAAGCTAGGAGAAATTGAGGGTATCTTAAAAACTCCACCCCCTCCCCCGACCCCTCCCCCTGAGTCCAGCAGACGAGGGCTCTTGTCGTCGTCTCTAGTGCCAGCCTCCATAGTGAGGGGTGGGGGAGAGAGTGGCCTGGTCAACTTCCTTCTATCAATAGTGCCTCTATCGTTGTCACTCTCTGCCCATCCGTTCTAGCTACACGTCAATCAACTAACATGCCCATCAATACCAGCCACCATCTGCCCATCATACCATGACACGATATGCCCATCCCCACAATCATAACGCCATCTGCCCTTCATATCATTTCACCATATGCCTCTGCCTATTCCTACCACCATTTGCCCATCTGTACTACCATCTCTCTATCCCTACTATCCTCATTACCATCTACCCATCCCCATCCCCACTACCATCTGCCCTCCCCCATTACCATCTGCCCATCCCCACCACCATCTGCCCACCCCCACTACCATCTGCCCACCCCCACTACCATCTTCCCATCCCCACTACCATCCGCCCACCTCCACTACCATCTGCCCATCCCCATCCCCACTACCATCTGCCCTCCCCCATTACCATCTGCCCATCCCCACCACCATCTGCCCATCCCCACTACCATCTTCCCATCCCCACTACCATCCGCCCACCTCCACTACCATCTTCCCATCCCCACTACCATCTGCCCACCCACAATACCATCTGCCCATCCCCACTACCATCTGCTCACCCCACTACCATGCTACTCCCACTACCATCTGCCCACCCCCACTACCATCTGCCCTCCCCCACTACCATCTGCCCACTCCCACTACCATCTGCCCATCCCCACTACCATCTGCTCACCCCACTACCATGCTACTCCCACTACCATCTGCCCACTCCCACTACCATCTGCCCACCCCCACTACCATCTGCCTACCCACACTACAACCTGCCCACCCTCACTACCACCTGCCCATCCCACTACCATCTGCCCACCCCACTACCATGCTACTCCCACTACCATCTGCCCATCCCACCACCACACCACCACCAGTACTCACACTGTGACCACTACCTCCTGTGTAAGAACCCACCCCCACCCCTTGATAGTGCCATTTGTTCAGGAGGTAATTGACATTTTTCTGGTGGGTGAACATAGTGAAATGTCACAGGCAAGTGAGTTGGATTTCACAATGTTCTGCTGTTACATAGGTGGAGTCCCTGGGGGTGCCTGTCAGATCTGTGTGGAGGTGCTCCTTTTATATGCAGCATTTGCGTGATGCTTGTAAAACACTATTGCTAGATGCCGCTAGTTATACAGGCAAGATTATCTAAAGCTGCTAGTACTGTTGTATCTCTGTGTGGTACACGAATTTGACCAAGCTACTTATGATGAATCTATGTCCTTCAATGAAGCTTGTTTTATGTATTTGACTTCCATCTTTCATAAAACTTGGGATGGAGTTGGTCTGGTAGTAGAGCACTACACTACTAATCGGATAGTCCAGCATTCAAATCCTGGCCTTAGGATTTCTAAAACCAACTCATTCGTTAGGATTCGCCTGCACCCCCATTTGTGTGTAGTGTGTCCAACACCTCTGGCTAATTGTATTTATCTGAGCTGTTTCTACTGGTACCCACAAGCTATTTGATGCAAGCTAATGCTAATCTTATGATGAAACTGTTCCACACTAGTTCTAACACACCATCAGTTCACATTTTCTTATTGGATTCCTCACCTATTTGTGTGTCTTGGATATATCTTGATACATTAATCACTCTGGATTGTACTGCTGATAGTTGCTCTAACAAAAGTGTTTTTTGTGATGCCAGTGTGTCTGGTTCTAGAGGCCATCTGTTGGATAACATGTCCTGTTTCAAGAACTTTTCACCAAAGGAACATGTTCCATGTTCTTCTCTGAGGACCATCTAAGATGAACATGTTCCTTATGAGTGTCTAGGAACTATCAGGATAGCTTATCTTGGGGATATGTTCCATGTGTGGTTTTTTGAGGACCATCTAAGATAACTTCTCTAAGGGAACATGTTCCTTGTGAGTGTCTAGGGCCCATCAGGATAACTTATCTAAGGGAATATGTTCCCTGTGCTTGTCTAAGGACCACAGGATAACTTTCCCAAGAGAACACATTCTCTATACTTTTCAAAGAACTGCCAAGAATACTTCTGTATGGGAACATGTTCCTTGTGCTTGCATAAGGACCACCTAAGAAATTCCCTAAGGGATTGTGTTCCCTATACTTGTCTACAGACTACCAAGAAAACTTCTGTAAGTGAACATGTCCCTTGTGCTTGCCTAAAGACCCCACTATGGCCCCTTGAGCCATGGATAGGATTTTGAACTTACTAGGGAAAAAAGATCCTGTGTCTGGACCAGGTGTGGATGTTAAGACAGAGAAAGGTGATACACAGAAAGGTGACACACCCTATGGTGACACACAGAAGACAAACAAAGGTGATACACAGAAAGGTGACACACCCTATGGTGACACACAGAACGGTGACTCACACCACGACAGTGTTGCCAAGTTTAATGGCAGTGATGTCCAGAGGCCAGCAGGCAAGAAGTCTGGCACCAGCTTCAGTGCTGAGCTGGACAGCCTGGCCACCAGTAGCAGACGCACCAGCCCGCTGGACTTAAGCTTTGGTGCCTCTAGCAATGAGGGCAGCCATTCAGACTTCACATCCCTCAACCAGAGCTCATCTATACACAGTTTTCTCAACAGCCAATCAGATGTTAGTTTTTATTTTGGCAGTCAACACAACAGCCAATCGGATTTCACATCAGCTGCCACAAGCAGAAGAAGTAGCCAATCAGATTTAAGTGCGACAACTTCGGGTAAAATAACTGGTCAGAAGATGGCCAAGAAGCTACAGCCGTTGACCTACGACCCGTACAGAAGATTTGATCTCCAGTTTGTGGTCCATAACGTAGAGACCTGTGATTTCTATGAGAAGGTAAAAAACAGTGGGGATGCCAGTTGGTTTTTGGCATCCATCTGCATGAAGCATGGCGGCACCTGGACAGTGTAGTGGAAGTAGAGTGCTCGCTGGACCGGGTAGTCAGTTAAGGAGTTTTTGGCCATATATTATGTGGCCAGGATGTCTTTCTAGATGTCTTTCCTAGTTTTGATTGATCAACTGGGTAGGGTACTATATCAGGGAGTTTAGGGAGTCTTTGAGGGAGACATCTAGGTTTATAATTCTGTGATACCAAACTCAGAACTATTGGGTTATATGTTTCGGGCTCTACTGCTTGACCACATGCTCCTTAAAGGCTTAGAATTTAATTGTCCGAGGGCGTGGAATATTTTTGCCAAAAAATGTGGGAAAAGTAATAAATGTCCTTTTGTTAAATGCAAGGGTTCTGATAATTAATACAGTGATTTTTAAGGAGTGCTTTTTTTTCTTTAAAAGGTGCTAGGATATGGCTAATTTTGTGTTTAATGAGTTTTTTTTGTCTTTAAAGGGTGCTAGGTTGTGACCAGTTAAAAAAAACAAATTTATAAATGTGTTTTTGTGGTTTCTACAGGCAACTTGGGTATGACTAATAAAAAAATGAAATTGACGAATGTCTTTTATCTGTCTTACAGGGTACTAAGGTGTGACTAATTAATAAAATTAACAAATGTGTTTTATCTGTCCTGCAGGGTGTTAGGGTGTGACTAATTAATAAAATTAATGAAGGTGTTTTATCTCTCCTGCAGGGTGCTCGGGCTCGACTAATTAAAATAATGAAATTGACGAATGTCTTTTATCTCTCCTACAGGGTGCTACGGTGTGGCTAATTAATATAATTAACGAATGTCATTTATCTCTCCTACAGGGTGCTAGGGTGTGGATACCAGACCCAGACAAAGTGTGGAGGGCAGCAGAACTGTTGGAGGATTATAAGGGGCAGGCCACACTAAGGATACAGTACGAGGAGGCAGAGGTAGGGTGGTATAGGTGTATTGTAGTTGTAGCATTAAACATTGGGCTAAGGATACAGTACGAGGAAGCAGAGGTAGGGTGGTATAGGTGTATTGTAGCATTAAACATTAGGCTAAGTAAAGTGTTATAGGTGTATTGTAGCATTAAAGATTGGGCTAAGTAAAGTGTTATAGGTGTATTGTAGCATTAAACATTGGGCTAAGTAAAGTGGTATAGGTGTATTGTAGCATTAAACATTGGGCTAAGTAAAGTGGTATAGGTGTATTGTAGCATTAAACATTGGACTAAGTAAAGTGGTATAGGTGTATTGTAGCATTAAACATTGGGCTAAGTAAAGTGGTATAGGTGTATTGTAGCATTAAACATTGGACTAAGTAAAGTGGTATAGGTGTATTGTAGCATTAAACATTGGGCTAAGTAAAGTGTTATAGGTGTATTGTAGCATTAAACATTGGGCTAAGTAAAGTGGTATAGGTGTATTGTAGCATTAAACATTGGGCTAAGTAAAATGTTATAGGTGTATTGTAGCATTAAACATTGGGCTAAGTAAAGTGTTATAGGTGTATTGTAGCATTAAACATTGGGCTAAGTAAAGTGGTATAGGTGTATTGTAGCATTAAACATTGGGCTAAGTAAAATGTTATAGGTGTATTGTAGCATTAAACATTGGGCTAAGTAAAGTGTTATAGTATAGGTGTATTGTAGCATTAAACATTGGGCTGGGAATAGAAAACTTGGATTGGATTAGATAAGGGCTGCTCCATTGGATCTGTTTGTGGGGTTAGAATGTGTGCTTGTGTTGCTAAGTTGTGGGTGTGTTTTCATAAGGTTAAAGTTCAATAATAACAATAACTCTGGTGATGGTGGCAGTACACATAGGTGAATGCAGTGTAGATTAGTCATAGCAGTTTAATAATTTTTTTTTTCTTTTTACAACCTACTTTTCTTGGTGATTGTGCTAACTGGCATAGTATACGTGTTACAGTTTTATGATTGTGTGTTTTTGTACAATCTCACAAAATCCTGTCATGATTGAATTCTTGCTATAAAGACATGACCTGTTTATGATTGTGTGTGTTTTTGTACAATCTTACAAATTCTTGTCATGATTGAATTCTTGCTATAAAGACATGACCTGTTTATGATTTGTACACAGCTGTGCAGTGCAGAGGTCATCTATAGGTCAGCTGTAAGTCATGACCTTTATACTGCTAGTAGATCAGTATAAACTGTATTATTTCTATACCTACTAGTTCAGCCTGCTTGTTTATATCATTAGCTCTGTATCAAATACTGGGTTGTATACCAATCTATTAACATTTTTTCTCAATTTGTTGATTTCAGTATTTAAAAAATATATCATATGTAAACAAAATTTTATTTAAATGTGTGTACCTTTAAATGTATTTTTAATGTTTGAATAAATGCCCAGTTTTTTAAGAAAAGCAAACCAAAAAGGTAGGTATGGATTACTAGTGAAGACAAAGTGTGACTCAATTTTGTTCTGGCCACATCACACTAAGCCTGAGGATTCCCCTTGACTGAGTTGCCACATAGGATATCAAACATTGACAATATTTGAGGAGTGAATGTTAAGCTAGTTTGTGTCAAACTTGAAAACAACTCAAGAAAGTGGTTTATTCTTTATGTTGCTGTCGACACAATGTTTAAATAGATTTTAACAACATTATTTCAAACAAATTGGTTCTTAACAAGAGGTTCAAACCAATAGAACTAATTAACAAGTCTATAACATTAGCAACAACTGTTTGATTTGTTGGTTGCTGTCCAGGGTCAAACAGACATATTTAATAAACCTGAGTGTAACCACTAAATGACTATGACAGCACTTGACTGTAACACCCCCTGACCATAACACCCCTGTCTTTAACACCATTAGATTGATCCACTGATTACTTGCCCTCCACAGCTGAGAAATGTGGTGTGTCACAGGCAGGTGTATGAAGAATCGGTTGGTAAATTTTGGGGACTGGGGTGTTGTTTGTGGGGGAGATTGTGGGGTGCCACATGATGGGACACCCCTTTAACCCATGCCATAACAGCATGTGTGTTTTTTAAAAAGAAATATTTAATGGAAGAAAGCATGTAAAAAGGCTGTGGAAATAATATTAAAACAAATACATTCCATGTTGATAAATATTTCCTTGAAGTGTGTATGCAGGTTTACCAATGTTAATTAGTTGTGTTTGTTTGCTTTGAGTAAATCTGCATACTATTTTTGTAAAACACTTTTGGTTGGGAAAAATATAATGTGGATTATTATGCATCTTGACCACAACCTTTTTGGTTCCTTTTGATTTTGTTGTTGAATTTTTCATTTAGTGAGATACAACATTTTTGTTGTTGATGATAGTTAAATACAAGTTGCACATCTTATTCTTTGTAGGTATATGCAGATTTTTTCAGCACTTTCACCTAAGATTATGTGTTTATCTGATAATATTTTAGCTTTAAAATACATGTTATTTTCAGTGTTGGAAAAAAAGTGTCATTTATCCACAAAAATTCATGGCAGTCTATCACCATATTTTATAGCATTAACTCATGTCATTTAGTTAGTAAAAGAAATTTCATAGCTATAAGAACAAATAACATGCAGCAAATTATTCAAAACTGAGGAGACAAAAAAATAAATTATCAAATTGATTCTGCATTAAATACTATCAAATCGCAATTGTAATTTAATGTTGGATGACCCAATACTAACACAATGACTGTCTGCATCAGTTTGTTGAATATACTTGATAAACTCCCCTAATCTGACTGCATCAGTTTGTTGAATATAGTTGTTAGACTCCCCTAATCTGACTGCATCTGTAGGTTGACTATAGTTGTTAGACTCCCCTAATCTGACTGCATCAGTTTGTTGAATATACTTGTTAAACTCCCCTAATCTGACTGCATCTCTAGGTTGAATATACTTGTTAAACTCCCCTAATCTGACTGCATCAGTTTGTTGAATATACTTGTTAGACTCCCCTAATCTGACTGCATCAAGTGAACTAACACTGCCCTGTTTTGTCTTCACAGGACTGCTGGGTTGTAAGTGCTCTCCCTTTATTGAGTTCTGCTCTCTGTGTACCATGTTACCTCCCTTGATATTACAAACTCAGCAAATATTGTTCTAGCAATGCAGCATGTTGAAGAAATACCTGACATGACACCAGCTGGTGCACTATTTAGTTCCTGTTCTATAGAACATTTTCATTTGTTCCAAGATATTAGCCTAAAAAATCTACATTAAAATATTTTTTAAATAAATTATTCTTCCTTCTTGACTGTTTTAATCTTTATAATACATCAGTAGGCTTATATGTCATAAGTTTGTAGTAGTGTCCATTACTTTCATAATGGACAGATCAGTCAGTGTCCACTACTCTAGACACCTGCCTGTTAAGGGTAAAAAAATCTGGCATGTTTGCCTGCAACAGTAATGTGATGTTCACTGCATGTCTTGTCCTTATTTCTTTTTGTCTTCATTTAAAAACAAAATGTTACACATCAATATGTTATGCCACTTTGAAGAAAAGATAAACCTATTTTAAGAAAATTTGTTTTAAAAGAATGCACAAATTAATTATTGCAATAGTACTTAGATTGCTTATCTGGTACTCTTTATAAAATAAAAGTAATCAAATTAGCATGTATTGCACCAATTAAAAAAATATTCATTATCTTATTAACACCCCAGCTACAAGAATTTTAATCCTCAAGCAATGTACTGCTGAAAAATGTGTACAAATAACTTACTATAAAATTAAAATAATGTTTAAAAATATACCTAACATATTAACATTTATATCTTATAGCTTAATAGATATGTAGATGTCATACTCTGAATATGTATAAACATAATATCCAATTATAGTGATATAAATATACATCATACAAACCTAACTACAACATAGACTAGCACTTACACACCACTTGATAAAATTATTATTCCTAGATAATAGTTTTCTATGTATCCAACTATCTGATTGATATATTTCTCATTTTGTTTCTTTTTGTTGAGTTACCATTTGTTTTATAGCCATTGCAAGTTGGTTTAATAAAAAAAAATATGGGAGGCTTATTTATTTTAGTTAGAGAGTATAAAACTTTCTGTTAACAGACATAGTGACAAACATATTTGCATGTTTTTGTGTGAAGTTTTGCAGCATGATGTGAAGACTACTTGATTTTCATGAGAAACACTTAAAGTGAAATGTGGATTTGAATAAGCTGTAAATTAGTTAGAAAATAAAGTAAATCAAAACCTTAGAGTTTGTAAACATTGACTTCTATTGATAAAATAAAACTTTTTATTTTTAAAATAATAATTTTAGTTTTACTTTTTTAATGGATTCTTCATTTCAATATTGTTTGTGGACATCCTGTAACTTTTTCTGTGTTTTTGTTTTCTTGTAGGAAGGAACAATAAACGTAACAGAAAAAACACTACCGCACTTAAGGAATCCTGAGATTTTAATTGGTGAAAATGATCTGACATCACTAAGTTATTTAAATGAGCCTGAAGGTAAGTTTAACTTTTGTTAAGTTGTTGATTAGTTGTCTGAAAACCATGACTTTGAGACTATGGCAAATGGGAAATGGGCACAATAAAATAGTTATTTCTTATCTATTCTCCATTTTTAATACATTTCCAGTATCTGTTGTGTCTCAATAGGTTGATATTATAGATTCTGCAACTTTACATGGCAAGTATTTTGTGGTTTCTTACTAATTATTGTTTCCTTTATTTACAGTACTATACAATCTGAAGGTGCGCTTTGTCGAACAAAATCTTATATATACATATTGTGGTAAGTTTAAATCTTGTATATACATATTGTGGTACGTTAAATCTTAAGAATTCAATACATATTATGGTAAGTCTAATCTCTTTACTGTAAGAAAAAATCTTTCAATTTTGAATTATTATTTGTTACAGTATGGAAAGGATTAGATTTAGTTCATTTCTATGTTGTTGTCAATCTAAAATAAATATGTTTATTAACTGCCTTGCATGTTTGAAGTATTTTTGTTTACTTTTGGAAGCTGGAATTTCTGTGATATTTCAAGGCAACTAGCTGGAAATACAAGAAAAATTTCAAGTGTAGTTTTAACTTCAATATTCCTATAGTTTCTGTGTATTACCTCAGGTATAGTTTTAGTAGCCATCAACCCGTACGAGTATTTGGATATCTACAGCAATGACATCATACAGGCGTACAGTGGGCAGGATATGGGGGCCATGGACCCTCACATCTTTGCTGTGTCGGAGGAGGCTTTCAAGCAAATGTCCAGGTACTTGTTATTGTTGGTGGTCATCTTGTGGTGTTGGTGGTCATCTTGTGGTGTTAGTGTTAGTGGTCATCTTGTTGTGTTAGTGGTCATCTTGTTGTGTTAGTGGTCATCTTGTGGTGTTAGTATTAGTGGTCATCTTGTTGTGTTAGTGGTCATCTTGTTGTGTTAGTGGTCATCTGGTTTTGTTAGTGGTCATCTTGTTGTGTTAGTGTTAGTGGTCATCTTGTGGTTTTAGTGTTGGGGGCCATCTTGTTGTGTTAGTGGTCATCTTGTTGTGTTGGGGGCCATCTTTTTGTTAGTTATCATCTTGTTGTGTTAGTGTTAGTGGTCATCTTGTGATGTTAGTATAAGTGGTCATCTTGTTGTGTTAGTGGTCATCTTGTGGTGTTAGTATTAGTGGTCATCTTGTTGTGTTAGTGGTCATCTTGTTGTGTTAGTGGTCATCTGGTTTTGTTAGTGGTCATCTTGTTGTGTTAGTGTTAGTGTTCACCTTGTGGTGTTAGTGGTCATCTTGTGGTGTTAGTGTTAGTGGTCATCTTGTGGTTTTAGTGTTGGGGGCCATCTTGTTGTGTTAGTGGTCATCTTGTTGTGTTGGGGGCCATCTTTTTGTTAGTTATCATCTTGTTGTGTTAGTGTTAGTGGTCATCTTGTGATGTTAGTATAAGTGGTCATCTTGTTGTGTTAGTGGTCATCTTGTGGTGTTAGTATTAGTGGTCATCTTGTTGTGTTAGTGGTCATCTTGTTGTGTTAGTGGTCATCTGGTTTTGTTAGTGGTCATCTTGTTGTGTTAGTGTTAGTGTTCACCTTGTGGTGTTAGTGGTCATCTTGTGGTGTTAGTGTTAGTGGTCATCTTGTGGTTTTAGTGTTGGGGGCCATCTTGTTGTGTTAGTGGTCATCTTGTTGTGTTGGGGGCCATCTTTTTGTTAGTTATCATCTTGTTGTGTTAGTGTTAGTGGTCATCTTGTGATGTTAGTATAAGTGGTCATCTTGTTGTGTTAGTGGTCATCTTGTGGTGTTAGTATTAGTGGTCATCTTGTTGTGTTAGTGGTCATCTTGTTGTGTTAGTGGTCATCTGGTTTTGTTAGTGGTCATCTTGTTGTGTTAGTGTTAGTGTTCACCTTGTGGTGTTAGTGGTCATCTTGTGGTGTTAGTGTTAGTGGTCATCTTGTGGTTTTAGTGTTGGGGGCCATCTTGTTGTGTTAGTGGTCATCTTGTTGTGTTGGGGGCCATCTTTTTGTTAGTTATCATCTTGTTGTGTTAGTGTTAGTGGTCATCTTGTGATGTTAGTATAAGTGGTCATATTGTTGTGTTAGTGGTCATCTTGTTTTGTTAGTGGTCATCTTGTTGTGTTAGTGGTCATCTTGTTGATAGTTTGTGTTTTTATGTTTACTATCATTGTGCATTGTGGTTGTATCTAATCCCGTCCCTAATCTTAGCCATAACACTAAACTTATTTGTAGCCTTAAACCTATTATATATGGTATGGCATGGTTGTGCGATAGAGCGCATGACTGTAAACCTGAAAGTCTTGTTCAGATCCCAGGCTTGAATGTGTTGGAGTCTCTGAGTCCACCCAGCTCTAATGGTGTCTTCTCATTTGGGAAAGTAAAGGCGACTGTTTCCCTTCATATGCCATTGTCGTGGAAACACTTGAACTCTCCTTAACCTGACCTATTAAATATCAGGTCCAAAGAGGTGTCTACAATGTTCCCTCTAAGCTGCCCTATTGCGTGGTCGCACAGTAGCTTTGAACTACCTTGCAGTCATTTTGTAAAAATCTATAATATAAGCGGGCTGAGCGTGTGTCAGTCCTTCTGTCATCGCTATAGATTTTGAAACCATAAAAGTAAACAGCGCACCATACTGTGCTTTTCGGTGCACCGCAGTGTCTTATTATAAGTTATAGAGTAGGGGTTGTTTATATAACGGCATAGAGGTATTTTATAATTGCCACCGTTTTTACTTTTTTGCATAACGTAAAGAAAATATTAAATACTCGCACATTGCTAAAACATATTAAAAATATCAATGTCAAATATCATTTTCGTTTATATTCCTAGAAAAAATGGATACATTTTAATAACATATTAACAGTAGGGTAGAAAAATCTAATTAAACTGTTTAGTAATTTTACCAAAGGAGGTAATTTAAAAATAAATTGAACTCGCGCTAAAAATGTGAATGCAAAATCTGCAAGACGGAATAATTGTTGGAATAATATAATTACCAAAATGTGAATGCAAATTAAGCAGACGTGTAGAGTACATTATTGATGGAATATTATAATTAGCATTGATTGATAAAAGGCTATATTTTATTTATTTTATTCACTGAATGTACTGTTTACTAATTACAATTTTTAATCAACTATTCTCGAATTATTATATTAAGTCATCACGATCATTAGGTGCGCAATGGTTTTAGTCATGAAACTTTATTGTAAATTTTTAAAAGTACTGAAAAAAATGCATGAATTTATAAAGTGCAATATGGTCGGTAAAACACGGATATTCTAAATACTGCCTTTAATTTATTTGCGGAAACAGAGGCGTAGCAAGAGGGGGGGGGGGGGGGGAGGGTGGAAATCGAAAGTTTGAGGGAGGTGGGAGTGTGCAAATCGAAATTTTCCGCCGGCGCTCGGAAAGGGCGCGATTTGGCGCTACGGGATAGACTGTGAGCAATATGCCTTTATGATTACATTTAAATTGAGTTTAAGTTGAGTGTTGTTTGTTTTTTCGTTTTTGTTTTTTCTTTGCATTCGTTTGTGTTGTATTTAGTTTTGTTCTGTTCCCAACTTGGTACATTTAAAAAAGATTTACCGTGTGTTGTGGTTGTGTTGTGGTTGTGGTTGTGTTGTGGTTGTGGTTGTGTTGTGGTTGTGGTTGTGTTGTGGTTGTTTTGTGGTTGTGTTGTGGTTGTGGTTGTGTTGTGGTTGTGTTGTGATTGTGTTGTGGTTGTAATGTGGTTGTGTTGTGGTTGTGGTTGTGTTTTGTTTGTGTTTGTGTTGTGTTTTTGTTTGTTTTGTTCTGTTCCAAAGTTGGTATATTTTATAAAGATTTACCGTGGCGGAGCAGGGGATGCAGCTAGTACTTATATACTTGTATAAGACATTTAGAATACTGCATACTCAAAATACATGTTGCACACTAACTTTTTCCCCTTAGAGGGAATGTTAGGTATCTATACTTACTTTTTAATCTTTGCCCTAATCTTTGCCCTAGCTCTAGCCCTAACCATCCCTTTAGCTGCAGACCTGACTTCTGCTATATAAGATGTTAACAATATATTTGAATAATCTTCAAAATGTACCATCTTTTAACTTAAACATAGCATCAAGAGAGGTGATAGTTTGTAATGTTAAGAATGTCAGTTACAATGTGAACCACTGACCCTTTTAGCTGTGACCTGCTGTAACACCTTTTGTAACACCTGTTGTAACACCTGCTCTTTGGTTCCAGGTTTGACAGGAACCAGTCCATCATCGTCAGTGGTGAGTCTGGCGCAGGTAAAACCGTCTCCGCTAAGTTCGCCATGCGCTACTTCGCCACGGTGGGCGGGTCGCAGGCGGAGACCCAGGTGGAGAGGAAAGTCTTGGCATCCAACCCTATCATGGAGGTACGTTACATGGCTTCTCAAGTTGGTGTACTGTCTGTACCCTAAGGTGCTAATGGGATGGCTTTTCAGTGCAAAGTGGGCTGTTATAATGGTACACTTTCACTAAGGTGATGGGATGAAACACAGGTGATTTCAAGCTAGGGGAGGTCTTATATTTGAGATGCACTGTTTTAGTTACATCTCTCATGCTTTATTCATTGGATTTACTATCTAATGTACATAATTTGTTAGTATGCTAATACTGTTTAAAATATGTTTGCTGACATTTATGGCTTTCTGTCTGAAACACTGTAAGATTAAAAATGATAGAATATTATATACCCTGAGCAAATATTTAACTAATAATCAAATGACTGAAATTTTGAAAGATTGCCCAATGTTTGTTAAAAAAACTGATGTAAAGTATAGTCTTTATATATTTTTTATCAAAATTTGGACCTTGGTAGAGCAGATTTAAATGTTATTGTCTTCAGGCCATTGGTAATGCCAAAACAACAAGGAACGACAACAGCAGTAGGTTTGGCAAGTATATAGAGATCAGCTTCAACAAGAACCATTCCATTGTGGGGGCTCACATGAGGACCTACCTGCTGGAGAAGTCCAGGTCAGTTGGGGGAGAGTCTAGGTGATTTGGGGTAACTCTTTAAGACCGTAACGATGCTACTAGCGGTCGACAGGCTGGCCTGCCATACCGTAATGACGTTCCTAGCGTTGGATGAAATTATCTGGATTTTATTCTGTATTTCGGAGTCCCAAGTTTTTTAATTGTAAATTTAGGTCATGATAACACTAGCGCAGCCATTTTTCGTTGTATTTACTTCTTGTAGATTTCTCGATAGGATGATTTTGTATTTTATAGAATTGTTTTTTGTAAAACAACTCGAAAAACAGCATTTTTTAACACTGCGGAATGCAGTTCAGCTGCCACGTCTAAACATTTACGTCGCTGCATTATAAAATTAACCAAAAATTAAAGTATTTATACTAAGACTAACAATGATTTTTGTAGAAAAATGGACGTACTTTCATTTTCTATGAATAAGAACTCATGAAAAGTAATTCTTATTAATAATTTTCAAGACAAGCATAATTTTTGCACGAAAAAATCAACTCTTTATTTTTTCTTCTTTAAAACTAAGTAATTATCTTTCTTCAATATATAAATAATTCCTTAAAATTTATATCAGTGTGTAGGGCATTCAATTACGATTAATTTTTATCTTTAATGTGTTTAAATTAGGGGATAAAAAGATATGGGTACTGAAAAAAAAGAGTGAAAAAAATAATTCCGGTAAAACGTGAAAATAATTACGGGCTTAAAGAGTTACTACAGTTGATTTGAGTTTTAAATAAAGGTGTTAGTATAGGTGGTTTGGATTAACAATAAGCCTGGGTTTGTGAGGACTTAAAATCTACTCACCTGTTGTCTGAAGCACATAACTCACCTGCTTGTGTTTGACCTAGCACTGTTTAACCTTGTGTTTGACCTGACCTGATTCTGATGTTGCTTGTGTTTGACCTGACTCTGATGTTCCTTGTGTTTGACCTGACCTGACTCTGATGTTCCTTGTGTTTGACTTGACCTGACTCTGATGTTGCCTGTGTTTGACCTGACCTGACTCTGATGTTGCCTGTGTTTGACCTGACCTGACTCTGATGTTGCCTGTGTTTGACCTGACCTGACTCTGATGTTGCCTGTGTTTGACCTGACCTGACTCTGATGTTGCCTGTGTTTGACCTGACTTGACTCTGATGTTGCCTGTGTTTGACCTGACCTGACTCTGATGTTGCCTGTGTTTGACCTGACCTGACTCTGATGTTGCTTGTGTTTCACCTGACCTGACTCTGATGTTGCCTGTGTTTGACCTGACCTGACTCTGATGTTGCCTGTGTTTGACCTGACCTGACTCTGATGTTGCCTGTGTTTGACCTGACTTGACTCTGATGTTGCCTGTGTTTCACCTGACTTGACTCTGATGTTGCCTGTGTTTGACCTGACCTGACTCTGATGTTGCCTGTGTTTTACCTGACCTGACTCTGATGTTGCCTGTGTTTGACCTGACCTGACTCTGATGTTGCCTGTGTTTGACCTGACCTGACTCTGATGTTGCCTGTGTTTCACCTGACTTGACTCTGATGTTCCTTGTGTTTGACCTGACTTGACTCTGATGTTCCTTGTGTTTGACCTGACTCTGATGTTGCCTGTGTTTGACCTGACTTGACTCTGATGTTGCCTGTGTTTGACCTGCCCTGACTCTGATGTTGCTTGTGTTTGACCTGACTTGACTCTGATGTTGCTTGTGTTTGACCTGACCTGACTCTGATGTTGCCTGTGTTTGACCTGACCTGACTCTGATGTTGCTTGTGTTTGACCTGACTTGACTCTGATGTTGCTTGTGTTTGACCTGACCTGACTCTGATGTTGCCTGTGTTTGACCTGACCTGACTCTGATGTTGCTTGTGTTTGACCTGACTTGACTCTGATGTTGCTTGTGTTTGACCTGACCTGACTCTGATGTTGCCTGTGTTTGACCTGACCTGACTCTGATGTTGCCTGTGTTTGACCTGACCTGACTCTGATGTTGCCTGTGTTTGACCTGACCTGACTCTGATGTTGCCTGTGTTTGACCTGACCTGACTCTGATGTTGCCTGTGTTTGACCTGACTTGACTCTGATGTTGCTTGTGTTTCACCTGACTTGACTCTGATGTTGCCTGTGTTTGACCTGACCTGACTCTGATGTTGCCTGTGTTTGACCTGACCTGACTCTGATGTTGCCTGTGTTTGACCTGACCTGACTCTGATGTTGCCTGTGTTTGACCTGACCTGACTCTGATGTTGCCTGTGTTTGACCTGACCTGACTCTGATGTTGCCTGTGTTTGACCTGACTTGACTCTGATGTTGCTTGTGTTTCACCTGACTTGACTCTGATGTTGCCTGTGTTTGACCTGACCTGACTCTGATGTTGCCTGTGTTTGACCTGACCTGACTCTGATGTTGCCTGTGTTTGACCTGACCTGACTCTGATGTTGCCTGTGTTTGACCTGACCTGACTCTGATGTTGCCTGTGTTTGACCTGACTTGACTCTGATGTTGCTTGTGTTTCACCTGACTTGACTCTGATGTTGCTTGTGTTTCACCTGACTTGACTCTGATGTTGCTTGTGTTTCACCTGACTTGACTCTGATGTTGCCTGTGTTTGACCTGACCTGACTCTGATGTTGCCTGTGTTTGACCTGACCTGACTCTGATGTTGCCTGTGTTTGACCTGACTTGACTCTGATGTTGCCTGTGTTTGACCTGACTTGACTCTGATGTTGCCTGTGTTTGACCTGACCTGACTCTGATGTTGCCTGTGTTTCACCTGACTTGACTCTGATGTTGCTTGTGTTTCACCTGACCTGACTCTGATGTTGCCTGTGTTTGACCTGACCTGACTCTGATGTTGCCTGTGTTTGACCTGACCTGACTCTGATGTTGCCTGTGTTTGACCTGACCTGACTCTGATGTTGCCTGTGTTTCACCTGACTTGACTCTGATGTTGCTTGTGTTTCACCTGACCTGACTCTGATGTTGCCTGTGTTTGACCTGACCTGACTCTGATGTTGCCTGTGTTTGACCTGACCTGACTCTGATGTTGCCTGTGTTTGACCTGACCTGACTCTGATGTTGCCTGTGTTTCACCTGACTTGACTCTGATGTTGCTTGTGTTTGACCTGACTTGACTCTGATGTTGCTTGTGTTTCACCTGACTTGACTCTGATGTTCCTTGTGTTTGACTTGACTTGACTCTGATGTTCCTTGTGTTTGACTTGACTCTGATGTTGCTTGTGTTTGACCTGACTTGACTCTGATGTTCCTTGTGTTTGACCTGACTTGACTCTGATGTTCCTTGTGTTTGACCTGACTCTGATGTTCCTTGTGTTTGACCTGACTTGACTCTGATGTTCCTTGTGTTTGACCTGACTTGACTCTGATGTTCCTTGTGTTTGACCTGACTTGACTCTGATGTTCCTTGTGTTTGACCTGACTTGACTCTGATGTTCCTTGTGTTTGACCTGACTTGACTCTGATGTTCCAGGGTTGTGTTCCAAGCATCAGAGGAGAGAAATTATCACATCTTCTACCAGCTGTGTGCTTCAGAGGACCTGCCTGAGTTTAAAGATTACCACTTGAGTAAGTACAAACGTTACCACTTGAGTAAGTTAAAGGTTACCACTTGAGTAAGTTAAAGATTACCACTTGAGTAAGTTAAGATTACCACTTGAGTAAGTTAAAGGTTACCACTTGAGTAAGTTAAAGGTTACCACTTGAGTAAGTTAAAGGTTACCACTTGAGTAAGTTAAAGGTTACCACTTGAGTAAGTTAAAGGTTACCACTTGAGTAAGTAAAAGGTTACCACTTGAGTAAGTTAAAGGTTACCACTTGAGTAAGTTAAAGGTTACCACTTGAGTAAGTTAAAGGTTACCACTTGAGTAAGTACAAACATTACCACTTGAGTGAGTATGAAGGTTAACATTGGGCAAGTTTAAAAGATAATGAGTTTGTGAAAGACCTGTATATATTGATTGTTCTCATGAGTTTGTGAAAGACATGTTTATATTGATGTGTGCCCTGTACCTCCAGGTGCTCCTGATGATTTCTTCTACACCAGTCAAGGTGCTGCCCCACAGATTAGGGATGTGGATGATGCAGCCGAGCTGACCAAGACAAGGAAGGCTTTCACAACACTGGGTAAACACAGGGGGGATTGTTAGCGTGGTGGGTTGTTGACATTGGGGTTGTTAACATAGGGGGTTGTTAGCATTGGAGGTTGTTAACATGGGGGTTGTTAACATAGGGGGGTTGTTAACACATGGGTTGTAAACATAGGGTTGTCAACATAGGGAGTTGTTAATTAAAATAGGGGGTTGTAAACACAGGGTTGTCAGCATAGGAGTTGTTAACACAGGGGGTTGTTAACATAGAGGGTTTTTAACATGGGGGTTGTTGACATGGGGGTTGTTAACACAGGGGGGTTGTTAACATAGGGGGTTGTTAACACAGGGTTGTCAGCATAGGTTGTTGTTAATGTGGGGGTTGTAAACACAGGGGTTGTTAACATAGAGGGTTGTTAACAGAAGAGGTTGTTGTTAACACAGGGATTGTTCACAGGGGTTGTTGACATGGGGGTTGTCAACACTGGGGGTTGTCAGTAAAGGTGGTTCTCACCTTAGTGGGTTGTCACCTTGTGGTTTTTATGCACAATATTGTCAACACCAGGGTTGTAAATCCAAAACTAGGTGAACACTAAAAATTGTGTTGTGTTTCAAATACAAGGGAGCTAACTCCTGACTCAGCTGCCATTCATTAGAGAGTAGAATTTACATTATAAATTAGCTCTACTAATCTTTTTAACCAAGCAAAATGCCCAGACAAAAGGATGTTTTTCACAGTGGATGAAAGTAAAAGAAAATGTATGTTTTTTCAAACAAATGGCAGTTCTAACAAGACTGAAGAATTTATTGTTTTTATTGTTACTGTTGGTGTTATTGTTTTTATTGTTACTGTTGGTGTTATTGTTTTTTTTTAATTGTTGCTGTGTTCCAGGTTTCCCTGATAAAGATGTGATGATGATATTCAGGATCCTGAGCGCCATTTTACACTTTGGTAATGTCAACATCAAAGAGAAGGATGGGGAGGCTTGTGAGATTCCTGTAAGTCTAGAACCACCTACCTCGTTAGTCTAACACCAGTTCTGTTATTGTAACTTGGTCAGTTCCCATGTGACATCCAAACACTTGTACCAGTTGGCTGTCCTTTGTTTTTCTAAGTTTGATTCAGTATGAAAGTGATATTGCAGCACACTTAACTATATGGTATATTAAAAATAAAGTTCTGAGTATCGAAAATTTTCTTTATAACCATGTATTGAACTGTCAAACTACAAATATAGATCTTTTGCTGCATAGTGTAGGGGTTGTTGTTGATATTGTTATTGATGATATTTAAGAAATGTTATGATGTAGGAATGATGTCGATGTAGAAATGTTGTTTAAATAGAAATGTTGTTGATGTAGAAATGTTGTTGATGTAGCGATGTTCATGATGTAGAAATGTTGTTGGTGTAGAAATGTTGATGTAGCGATGTTGTTGATGTAGAAATGTTGTTGATGTAGAAATGTTGTTGATGTAGATACGTTGTTGATGTAGAAATGTTGTTGATGTAGATATGTTGTTGATGTAGCGATGTTGATGATGTAGAAATGTTGTTGGTGTAGAAATGTTGTTGATGTAGAAATGTTGTTGATGTAGCGATGTTGTTGATGTAGAAATGTTGTTGATGTAGAAATGTTGATGTTGTAGTGATGTTGTTGTTGATGTTGTAGCGATGTTGTTGTTCCAGAACAAGGACCCATCCATCACCGTCATGTGCAAGCTGCTGGGCATTGAAGAATCTCAGATGAGGATGTGGCTGTGTAACAGGAAGATCCAGACGGTCAACGAGACGCTGACCAAACCACTGACAGAATCACAGGTAAACAATACTGACCAAACCACTGACAGAATCACAGGTAAACAATACTGACCAAACCACTGACAGAATCACAGGTAAACAATACTGACCAAACCACTGACAGTCACAGGTAAACAATACTGACCAAACCACTGACAGAGTCACAGGTAAACAATACTGACCAAACCACTGAAAGAATCATAGATAATATTGTAATACTGCATCAATGAAAAAAATTCTACTTTTTAAAAGTAAAGTCTAATAAAATATCCTAAATTGATCTCTGTATTTTAAATAAAAAATGTATGAGGTTTTCTCGTACTTCTTATTATGCACCATTCAGACAGAGAATCACTGACAGCGTTTAAAATGAAAATATTGTGGTGGTGTTTAACTATCAGCCCCTCCCCTCCCCAGGCCAGTTTTGCCAGGGATGCCCTGGTCAAGTACATCTACTCCAGGCTCTTTGACTGGATCGTCACACAGATCAACAAGGCCCTTCACAGTGCCACCAAGACATACAAGTTTATTGGTGTCTTGGATATTTATGGGTAAGTCATTGTTTACTGGGTTCTGGGGATTTATGGGTAAGTCATTGTTTACTGGGTTCTGGGGATTTATGGGTAAATCATTGTTTACTAGGTTCTGATACCTTAATGGGTAAAATCACATTTTTCACTTAGTTCTGGACATTTTTGGATTAATCACATTGTTTTCTGGGTTCTGGGGATATCACTTGACCAAGTTATTTTTCTTTCTAGTATCAGTCCTGGTACCCACAGATTAAAGCCCCATCTCTTCCCCACAGGTTTGAGACCTTCACCATCAACAGCTTTGAACAGTTCTGTATTAATTATGCTAATGAGAAACTACAGCAAATCTTTAACATGGTATGGATTTGTTTTTATTTACCATTGACTACTTTTCAAATCATTTAAACTTTTTAACCTTACCTCCAATGTCTTTAAATCCCCTACCCCCTACTCTTAAAACTCTGCATCCAGAGCCCAAAAAGAAAACACAATAAAATTTTAGTTCACTGTAATACATTTTGATAATACTAGGTCTAATAGTCTTATATTTTTGTCAATCAATTAAGCATCATAATATTAGTTGGAGATGAACAATTAAAAAAAGAAGTTTTGCCGATTAATTCCTTAAGATACCCCACACAACAATACGATATCCTACAAGAACAAGGTAGAGGGTAGACACTGTTTCTTGATTATCCTAAGGTGTTTAGGTTGTGGTTTGTTTCTCTACAGAAAATAAACTGCTATTTTTAGCTATAACTAGTTTCTAAGTGTCCATATCAAGTTCCTTCTATTACTGAATTTTTTTTCTACTTTGACTGTTGTATTTATTTCACCACAATTTTTAAACATCTGTATATATTAAACCATGTGTTTAAAACCTGTATATGTTCAAGCATGTGTTTAATGACCTGTTTGTGTTTCAGCATGTGTTTAAACTGGAACAAGAGGAGTATGTGAGAGAGAAGATAGAGTGGTCATTCATTGACTTCTATGACAACCAACCTTGTATTGACCTCATTGAGAGCAAGCTGGGCATCCTGGACTTGTTGGATGAGGAGTGTAGGGTGAGTTGTGTGGGGGTGTGTGTGGGGTGTGTGGGGGAGAAGATAGAGTGGTCATTCATTGACTTCTATGACAACCAACCTTGTATTGACCTCATTGAGAGCAAGCTGGGCATCCTGGACTTGTTGGATGAGGAGTGTAGGGTGAGTTGTGTGGGGTGTGTGGGGTGGGGTGTTATAGGTGTATGGTAGGTGTGTCACAGGTGTGTTGTAGGCATGTTGTAGGTATGGGGGTGTGTGTTACATATGTGTTGTATGTGTGTGGCAGATGTGTGTAGGTGTGTGGTGAATATGTTTTAAGTGCCAGATCTCTATCAGGGTTGTGTCTTTAGGCATCTACCAATCAAGTTGCTAGGGGTTAGAATCTTCATCAGTAAAAATGTAAGCAATGCAATGGTGTTGTGTATATCACATCTTATTGTCCAAATATAAACAAAGCAAATATATCTTCTACATTTTATAATTGGCTTTATCATTATAATTCGTCTAATATTAACCATTCATCTATTATTAACCCTTAATATATTCCCAAATTTTCTTTGTTTTATTACCTTTAGTTATTGCATAAATTAAATGCTAATTGGTACTAAACATTGACTGATTATAAGTTGATTATGCTAATTTGTAGGGGTCATCCATAAATGGCACACAGGGTTGCAATGCAGATTAAGACTGTTGGGATTATCTATGACAAGTTTGAGCGGAGGAAAGTTGAAAAAGAGTTATTGCCGTTTCAATGTGTTTATTTGAAAAATTAGAAAACCCTGTTTATTTACATTATATCCATGTTAAGTTTAATGAGGTGAATGGAACTTTGTGACATCATTATAGAAAGGGGAGGGGTTCTGTTGGTGCAGGTGAGGGGTAAGTTCTGCTAAAATGGTGTAACATCATCTATGGACAACCCTTTACAGTTTGCAATAAATGTGTAGTTGTTTGAAGAAAGAAATGTATTTATCTTATTGATTAACCCTTTGTATACTGAACACAGACTTAAATTGGTGCCAAAAGCTGTGAAAAGCACCTGATTAAGTCACATGAGTTTGTTTAACCCTTTGTTTTCTGTACATAGATGCCTAAAGGTTCAGACTTAAATTGGTGCCAGAAGCTCTATGACAAGCACCTCAACAAGTCACACCACTTTGACAAACCCAGGACCTCTAGATCTGCTTTCATCATCAACCATTTTGCCGACAGGGTCAGTCCATTTCAAGTCCATATTTGTTTGTGAATGTACACCATTTTGATTAACTCACATGGTTTAATGTCATTTTATTATTGGGTCAAAGAATAAGTCTAATGTAGTAGGTCAAAGGATCAGTCTATTTTTGTTTACCATGCTATGTTTTGTTTCTATTGTATGTGTGTAATGGTGTGACCAGCAAGCAATGGCTCTATGGCACACAAACTTATTTCTAAGGAAAAGTGAAGACTAGTTTTTTTTCAATTGGCTTTCTGTGGGGCGTGGGACGGAGTGGTCTAGCGGTAGAGAGCTGGACTGCTAACCCGTAAGTCTCGTGTTCGAATCCGGGTTCAAGTCAGTAGACCGTCCCTGAGTCCACCCAACTTTGATGGTTACCTAACTCACGTTAGGGAAAGTAAAGGTGGCTGGGCATAGTGCTGACCACACTATCTCTTCATATGCCGAGGTCACAGAAACAAGTGAACTCTACTTCACTTGCCCCATAGACCGTCAGATTTGAAAAGGAAGCTTTACTACTTTACTTTCTGTGGAGCGGGGAAGCATCTGGTGTATAAATGTATATAGCCGCTTTATAAAATGTCTCTTTATTCTGACCTCTGGGGTATGGACCTTTTGTCTAGGGTCCAATTGTTTAATGGGTGGTGGATTACATGATAGATAACAGGTGGGTGTACAGGTGTTTTGGTAGGTTGGAGCTTTAGAAGTTGTAAGGTTGACATCTTGTGGTTTACCTGACAGGTGGGTGTACAGGTGTTTTGGTAGGTTGGAGCTTTAGATGTTGTAAGGTTGACAGGTGGGTGTACAGGTGTTTTGGTAGGTTGGAGCTTTAGATATTGTAAGGTTGATATCTTGTGGTTTTCATTACCTGACAGGTGGAGTACCAGGTGGACGGCTTCTTGGAGAAGAATAGGGACACAGTGTTAGAGGAGCAGATCAACACTTTAAAGGCTAGTGAGGTAGGTTGGTGAGGTAGGTTGGTGAGGTAGGTTGGTGAGGTAGGCTGGTGAGGTAGGTTGGTGAGTGTTGGTGAGGTAGGCTGGTGAGGTATGTTGGTGAGGTGGGTTGGTGAGTGTTGGTGAGGTAGGCTAGTGAGGTAGGCTGGTGAGGTAGGCTGGTGAGGTAGGCTAGTGAGGTAGGTTGGTGAGATGTTGGTCAGGTGGGTTGGTGAGTGTTGGTGAGGTAGGCTGGTGAGGTAGGCTAGTGAGGTAGGTTGGTGAGATGTTGGTGAGGTGGGTTGGTGAGGTAGGCTGGTGAGTGTTGGTGAGGTAGGCTAGTGAGGTAGGCTGATGAGGTAGGCTGGTGAGGTAGGCTGGTGAGGTAGGCTGGTGAGGTAGGTTGGTGAGGTATGCTAGGGAGGTAGGTTGGTGAAGTAGATTAATGAGGTACGCTGGTGAGGTAGGATAGTGAGGTAGGCTGGTGAGGTAGGCTGGTGAGGTAGGTTGGTGAGGTATGCTAGGGAGGTAGGTTGGTGAGGTAGGTTGGTGAAGTAGATTAATGAGGTTCGCTGGTGAGGTAGGATAGTGAGGTAGGTTGGTGAAGTAGATTAATGAGGTACACTGGTGAGGTAGGATAGTGAGATAGGTTAGGGAGGTAAGCTGGTGATGTATTTGATGTGGTATGTTGTGAGGTAGGTAGGCGAGGTATTATGTAAGATAAGTTGGTTACCTAGTCTTTACATTTCTAACTGATCTATGTTATAATACTGAGCTGTTGACCACTGATAAATGTTGCCCTACCCCCACAGTATGAGCTGGTTGGTGAGCTGTTCACAGAAGAGGAGCCAGGGGCGCCAGCTGCTGCTAATAAAAGAGGGCGCTCCACGTCTATCACCCAGCCAGTCAAAGCACAGCCTAAAGCCGGCAGTAAACAGCATAAGAAAACAGTTGGTTCACAGGTAATAACACAATTATGTTCAGGTAAAATTTTTGCCTAAAGCTGCCAGTAAACAGCATAAGAAAACGGTTGGTTCACAGGTAATAACAAAATAAAGTTCATCAAAATTTGTTAGTTCATGAGTTTCAAATATTTTTTCTGGTAAAGTAGTAGTGATAAAATTTGTTTCCCCAAAAAATAATTCCTTAGTTATTAAATAAAATACACTTTAAGCTTTTTCTTTTAAAATGTTCTTTAAATAATTTTATTTTTCCTTGTTCAGTTCCGAGATTCCTTATGTGCTCTGATGGAGACATTGAATGCTACGTCACCCCACTACATCAGGTGCATCAAGCCTAATGATGCAAAGGAGGCGTTCATGTAAGGCTAGGCAGTGATAGAACTAAGGGGTTAAGGATTGATTGAGTTCTTTTAATGAAGGGCAGTGTGGTAGTGATAAAGGTTTAGAAATTGGTTATTAAAATGTCCTATCTGTATAGTTTAGGATTTGATGGTCTTACTAGCCGGAGATGTTTTGCAGACAATATCATTTAATTTTATTAAATAACAAAAGCTATCTTAAAGCAAAAAGAACCAAGCAATAAAAAAGGATGGAAAAGTTAGAATAAATAAGTAGAGCTCTATTGTTGACACTGTTTTGATCAGGTTTGAACCCAAGAGAGCTGTGGAGCAACTGAGAGCTTGTGGTGTTCTGGAGACTATCAGGATCAGCGCTGCTGGCTACCCATCCAGGTGAGGTTCTTACAGCACTATGCTGGGCTACCCATCCAGGTGAGGTTCTTACAGCACTATGCTGGGCTACCCATCCAGGTGAGGTTCTTACAGCACTATGCTGGGCTACCCATCCAGGTGAGGATTGTATGCTCGGCTGAATTGACTGTCCATGATTTCAGTCATAACCTACTTCAGATGGGATTACTCTAGAAATTATCATGACACATTTATGAAATATTTAACCCTTTGAGCCCGCCAGGCTGGTAAACCAGCTTCAACATTAGGCATATATGTCCGAAAAGCCGGTTTTCCGGCCCGATGATCTAGTGTCATATTCCTAGCGGCCGGTATACCATCTAATTAAATATAATTAGCGGAAGACTGACTAAAACTGCGCATGTCTTTTTAGTGCGGGATTATGATTTTAAAAATAGATTTGAGGAAAAGTGATAATAATTATGTGTTCGTTTTATATACATTGTTCTTTTCATACATTGCAAAAAAAATAAAGAGTTTCAGAATCTTGCTGCATTTTTGTTTGATCCTGAGTCTGGATATCAAATGTGGTTTGATTATCTCAAACGGTTCAAAAGTTATAGGCAAAGTTAGAAGCAGATAAGTGAAAATTGGTTTGGCCCTGGGAGCTCAGGAAATGGAAGAAATTAGGCCAGGGAGGCCAGGGCTCAAAGGGTTAAAGACATTTGAGGCTAATAGAAATCCTTGCAACTATTTCTAGATGGACCTACCCAGAGTTCTTCCAGAGATACAGAGTGCTAGCCCTTAGCAAGCATATAGTGAAGAATGACATGAGGAAAACATGTGAAGCCATTCTCCTGTCTCTAATTAGTGTGAGTCTTGTTGTGGTTTCCTCTAATAGCACAACTAGTGGGTTAACACTGGCTTTACTACAGTTTTTAATTACTTAACTAACCCTTAGCAAGCATATAGTGAAGAATGACATGAGGAAAACTTGTGAAGCCATTCTCCTGTCTTTAATTAGTGTGAGTCTTGTTGTGGTTTCCTCTAATAGCACAACTAGTGGGTTAACACTGGCTTTACTACAGTTTTTAATTACTTAACTAACCCTTAGCAAGCATATAGTGAAGAATGACATGAGGAAAACTTGTGAAGCCATTCTCCTCTCTCTAATTAGTGTGAGTCTTGTGGTTTCTTCTGATAGTACAACTAGTTCGTTAACACTGGCTTTACTACAGTGTTTAATTACTTAACTAACCCTTAGCAAGCATATAGTGAAGAATGACATGAGGAAAACTTGTGAAGCCATTCTCCTCTCTCTAATTAGTGTGAGTCTTGTGGTTTCTTCTGATAGTACAACTAGTTCGTTAACACTGGCTTTACTACAGTGTTTAATTACTTAACTAACCCTTAGCAAGCATATAGTGAAGAATGACATGAGGAAAACTTGTGAAGCCATTCTCTTGTCTCTAATTAGTGTGAGTCTTGTTTTGGTTTCTTCTGATAGCACAACTAGTGGGTTAACACTGGCTGTACTACAGTTTTTAATTACTTAACTAACCCTTAGCAAGCATATAGTGAAGAATGACATGAGGAAAACTTGTGAAGCCATTCTCTTGTCTCTAATTAGTGTGAGTCTTGTTTTGGTTTCTTCTGATAGCACAACTAGTGGGTTAACACTGGCTGTACTACAGTTTTTAATTACTTAACTTAATTTACACGGAGGCTATAACTAAACAAATTGGGTGGAATTAAATTTTAAAAGGAAAAAAAAATGTATCACCTGATTCTTAACTTTAAAAAAAATACACTACATATTAATTTTGCTTATCTCATACAATATTTCATCACATTGTATCATTTACCCATTTGTGTCAGTGGAGTAGAACTTAAAAAAGTTATTTTATTTTTTTCATTTTTTTCAATGGTTTGAAATTTTTTTTTAGATTTTAGTTCTGAAATTGATGATAACAAATTATTTTTAAAAATATATTGTATGTATCCACGTTTGTCTATCCAAGTTTGTCTATCCACGTTTGTCTATTCAAGTTTGTCTATCCACGTTTGTCTATCCACGTTTGTCTATCCACTTTTGTCTATCCACATTTGTCTATCCATATATTGATCCACTTGACTTCAGGATGAGGACAAGTACAGGTTTGGTAAGACAAAGATTTTCTTCCGTGCCGGTCAAGTGGCCTACCTGGAGAAGCTGAGGGCGGAGAAGTTGAGGGCGTGTGGCGTCATGATACAGAAACACATCAGGGGCTGGCTGCAGAGGCGCAAGTACCAGCGTCTACGCAGGTCTGTGCTCCTGGTGCAGACGTATGGGCGTGGCCTGTTGGCCAGGAGGTGAGCAACTAGTTGTCAGATGTCTAAATGTTAGGAGGTGAGCAACTAGTTGTCAGATGTCTAAATGTTAGGAGGTGAGCAACTAGTTGTCAGATGTCTAAATGTTAGGAGGTGAGCAACTAGTTGTCAGATGTCTAAATGTTAGGAGGTGAGCAAACTAGTTGTCAGATGTCTAAATGTTAGGAGGTGAGCAACTAGTTGTCAGATGTCTAAATGTTAGGAGGTGAGCAACTAGTTGTCAGATGTCTAAATGTTAGGAGGTGAGCAACTAGTTGTCAGATGTCTAAATGTTAGGAGGTGAGCAACTAGTTGTCAGATGTCTAAATGTTAGGAGGTGAGCAACTAGTTGTCAGATGTCTAAATGTTAGGAGGTGAGCAACTAGTTGTCAGATGTCTAAATGTTAGGAGGTGAGCAACTAGTTGTCAGATGTCTAAATGTTAGGAGGTGAGCAACTAGTTGTCAGATGTCTAAATGTTAGGAGGTGAGCAACTAGTTGTCAGATGTCTAAATGTTAGGAGGTGAGCAACTAGTTGTCAGATGTCTAAATGTTAGGAGGTGAGCAACTAGTTGTCAGATGTCTAAATGTTAGGAGGTGAGCAACTAGTTGTCAGATGTCTAAATGTTAGGAGGTGAGCAACTAGTTGTCAGATGTCTAAATGTTAGGAGGTGAGCAACTAGTTGTCAGATGTCTAAATGTTAGGAGGTGAGCAACTAGTTGTCAGATGTCTAAATGTTAGGAGGTGAGCAACTAGTTGTCAGATGTCTAAATGTTAGGAGGTGAGCAACTAGTTGTCAGATGTCTAAATGTTAGGAGGTGAGCAACTAGTTGTCAGATGTCTAAATGTTAGGCTGTTGTGAGAGGCGCAAGTACCAGCGCTTGTGCAGGTCTGTGTTCCTCATGCAGACATATGGCCGTGGCCTGTTGGCCAGGAGGTGAGCAGCTAGTTGTCAGATATATCTGATGGGCTCCGTGGAAAGACGCAACAAATTCCTATCTCTGTATAAAATAAATATTATTCTGTTGTAAAGATTGCTTATATATAGTGAATTTATTTTTAAATAGGCAAAACAATTTTTTTAAAACACTTAAAGGTCATCCATTTATGATGTCCACACGGGGGGGGGGGGGGGTCTGAAATCCAAAAAAATTGTGGAAGTCATAAATGGATGACCCCTTATTGCAATGTTTAATTCATGCTTTTAAGTTGGTAGTGTATAGAAAAAAACCAGAAGGGGCTTATGATCAATTACTTGGCTAAAAATATTGACTTTTTTTGTTGATATTTGAATTGTTTTAAAAAATAATACTAAGGGTTTATATTTTAATGAATATTAAAAAAATACTAAGTTTTCTGTTCTTTGTTGTTAAAAGTACTTTTTGTTGTATATTTAACAACAATAAATAAGATCACCAACATTAGACATTTTATTTATCTGTCATGATTGTTCTCCGCCAGACATGCAGACTTCCTGCGCAAGACCAGGGCAGCCATACGCATCCAGGCGAGGTGGAGAGGCTACAGACAGAGGCAGAAGTTCAACTCTATCCACTCAGCTGTTGTTGTACTACAGGTGATTGTCTTCTACTTTCATTCATTAGGTTGTATTTATTTCACAGTTTATCTTGATGCATTTCTTTAATGGAAATAATATCCCAATGATAGCCATACTCAGAAAGTTTTTTTTTCAACTGCTGCAAAGAATAATGTTTTTGTAAACCTTGTTTTAATTACTCTCTTAAAGTTAAAGCTAGGGTCTGCGTTGTCGGTTAGGTAATAGTTCATGGTTGCTATACCGAAAAGTCCCATGTTCAAATTCTGGGCAGATAGTCTTGATAGCTGGAGACAACAACTCATCTAGGAGAGAAAACTCCGAAAATCAAACAATTAATGCTAACACTACATTATTGGCCGTATGGCCTTCAAGTAAAGGTCACATATCAGTGTCAAAGAATTCCTAGATAAAACTCAATGGCCACATGTTTGTGACCAAGATGAGCCACCTAGATGGAGGCATCCGGCTGTGTTAAGGCATGGAGAGGGTTTGCTCCACCATGCAACACCTAGCCCTAGACACTCCACTCTGTGGTGCCCCAACAACCCCAACAAGGGTTAAGGGATGATTTAGATTTTAGAAGTTAGAGCTGTTAATGAAATCACTAAAAGATACAAGAAGACATACAAGTTATTCTAATGCTCCATTTGATCTTCTAGTAGACTAGTTAGTCAATATTTACATTTGCTAATTATCCTTGATGGGAATCTCTAAAGACTGGTGGTATTGTTTTTGTCTCTACTAGGCCCACGTGAGAGCCATGTTTGCCAGGAAGCGCTACATGGATCTGCTGCGCCGCCACAAGGTGCTGGTCATACAGAAGAACGTCCGGGCCTTCATCCAGCACCAGAAGTTCAGGCGGGTCATGCGTGGCATCGTGCTGGTCCAGAGCCACTACAGGAGGAGGAAGGCTCGCCTGCAGCTCAAGCTGCTCAAGGTAAGCTCTGGCACAGGCTCTGGTGCCTGTCACAGGCTCTGGTACCTGTCACAGGCTCTGGTACCTGTCACAGGCTCTGGTACCTGTCACAGGCTCTGGCACCTGTCACAGGCTCTGGCACAGGCTCTGGTGCCTGTCATAAGTTCTGGTGCCTGTAATAAACTTTGGCGCCTGTCATAAAGCTCTGGCGCCTGTCACAGGCTCTGGCACCTGTCACAGGCTCTGGTACCTGTCACAGGCTCTCGTACCTGTCACAGGCTCTGGCACAGGCTCTGGTACCTGGCACAGGCTCTGGCACCTGTCACAGGCTCTGGTACCTGTCACAGGCTCTGGTACCTGACACAGTCTCTGGTACCTGTCACAGGCTCTGGTACCTGACACAGTCTCTGGCACCTGTCACAGGCTCTGGTACCTGTCACAGGCTCTGGCACAGGCTCTGGTACCTGGCACAGGCTCTGGTACCTGTCACAGGCTCTGGTACCTGTCACAGGCTCTGGTACCTGTCACAGGCTCTGGCACCTGTCACAGGCTCTGGTGCCTGTCACAGGCTCTGGCACCTGGCACAGGCTCTGGTGCCTGTCACAGGCTCTGGCACCTGTCACAGGCTCTGGCACCTGGCACAGGCTCTGGTGCCTGTCACAGGCTCTGGTACCTGTCACAGGCTCTGGTACCTGTCACAGGCTCTGGTACCTGTCACAGGCTCTGGTACCTGTCACAGGCTCTGGTACCTGTCACAGGCTCTGGTACCTGTCACAGGCTCTGGTACCTGTCACAGGCTCTGGCACCTGTCACAGGCTCTGGCACAGGCTCTGGTGCCTGTCATAAGTTCTGGTGCCTGTAATAAACTTTGGCGCCTGTCATAAAGCTCTGGCGCCTGTCACAGGCTCTGGCACCTGTCACAGGCTCTGGTACCTGGCACAGGCTCTGGCACCTGTCACAGGCTCTGGTACCTGTCACAGGCTCTGGTACCTGTCACAGGCTCTGGTACCTGTCACAGGCTCTGGTACCTGGCACAGGCTCTGGCACCTGTCACAGGCTCTGGTACCTGTCACAGGCTCTGGCACAGGCTCTGGTACCTGTCACAGGCTCTGGCACCTGGCACAGGCTCTGGTACCTGACACAGTCTCTGGCACCTGTCACAGGCTCTGGTACCTGTCACAGGCTCTGTCACAGGCTCTGGTACCTGTCACAGGCTCTGGTACCTGACACAGTCTCTGGTACCTGTCACAGGCTCTGGTACCTGACACAGTCTCTGGCACCTGTCACAGGCTCTGGTACCTGTCACAGGCTCTGGCACAGGCTCTGGTACCTGGCACAGGCTCTGGCACCTGTCACAGGCTCTGGTACCTGTCACAGGCTCTGTCACAGGCTCTGGTACCTGTCACAGGCTCTGGTACCTGACACAGTCTCTGGTACCTGTCACAGGCTCTGGTACCTGACACAGGCTCTGGCACCTGTCACAGGCTCTGGTACCTGTCACAGGCTCTGGCACAGGCTCTGGTACCTGGCACAGGCTCTGGCACCTGTCACAGGCTCTGGTACCTGTCACAGGCTCTGGCACAGGCTCTGGCACCTGGCACAGGCTCTGGTGCCTGTCACAGGCTCTGGTACCTGTCACAGGCTCTGGTACCTGACACAGGCTCTGGTACCTGTCACAGGCTCTGGTACCTGACACAGTCTCTGGTACCTGTCACAGGCTCTGGTACCTGACACAGGCTCTGGCACCTGTCACAGGCTCTGGTACCTGTCACAGGCTCTGGCACAGGCTCTGGTACCTGGCACAGGCTCTGGCACCTGTCACAGGCTCTGGTACCTGTCACAGGCTCTGGCACAGGCTCTGGCACCTGGCACAGGCTCTGGTGCCTGTCACAGGCTCTGGTACCTGTCACAGGCTCTGGCACAGGCTCTGGTACCTGGCACAGGCTCTGGCACCTGTCACAGGCTCTGGTACCTGTCACAGGCTCTGGCACAGGCTCTGGTACCTGTCACAGGCTCTGGTACCTGTCACAGGCTCTGTCACAGGCTCTGGCACCTGTCACAGGCTCTGGCACAGGCTCTGATACCTGTCACAGGCTCTGGTACCTGACACAGTCTCTGGTACCTGTCACAGGCTCTGGTACCTGTCACAGGCTCTGGCACCTGGCACAGGCTCTGGTACCTGACACAGTCTCTGGCACCTGTCACAGGCTCTGGTACCTGTCACAGGCTCTGGCACAGGCTCTGGTACCTGTCACAGGCTCTGGTACCTGTCACAGGCTCTGGTACCTGGCACAGGCTCTGGTGCCTGTCACAGGCTCTGGTGCCTGTCACAGGTATGGCACCTGTCTGTCACACCTTTTTGGGGGTGGGACACTCATGTGGTAGTGATCATGGCTTCTTATCAGTTAGTCGTTATCATAGCTTCTCTAAGGACAAATCACAAAAAACAATACTGTAAACCTTAGCATGAGAATATGGAACTGTGGTAGGTTACATTCTGATATAATCCTGGAAGTGATATAAACTTCTTTTTGTGTAACTTACTGATGCCAATATTTTAACATTAGTGAGTTTTGAAGCTGTGGTGCTATTGGCAATATTTGCTCTAAAGCTGATGTAGGCTGATTAATGCACACAGACTATTTTTTAAAAATGTGACATTGTATACTAGTAAGAGAATACCAGGCAGTAAACATTAAGTTGGTTGAAGTCCTAGTGAAACAAATCTTACAGTTGTGTAAAGCAGACACACCACCTTAACCCTTTGAGCCTTGGCCTCCCTGGCCTAATTTCTCCCATTTCCTGAGCTCCCAGGCCCAAACCAATTGTCACTTATCTGCTTCTAACTTTGCCTTTAACTTTTGAACCATTTGAGATAATCAAGCCAAATTTGGTATCAAGGTTCAGTAGCATACAACAATTCAGCAAGATTTGGAAATTTAATAATTATAAAATAATATAAAATAACCAATTGTTTTTTTTTGTGTGTTGACAATGTATTTCACAAACTGCAAACACTTTCACTTTTATTTTTCCCCAAAATCTATTTTTAGAATCATAACCCTGTACAAAAAAGACATGTGCGCTGTTTTATTCAGTTCGCTGCTAATTATATTTAATAAGACAGTATACCAGCCCCTAGGACTATGACGCTAGATCATCAGGCCGGAAAACCGGCTTTTTGGAAATATATGCCTAATTATGAAGCTGGTTTTCCGGCTTGTCAGGCTCAAAGGGTTAATGTTTCTCCTGGTGCTTGTGTCTCTAGAACCACCCCCATATTCTCACCTGTCTCAGAGCTTTGTGCTGGATCTGTTGTTGCAGGTGGAGGCCAAGTCAGTGGACCATATCAAGCAGGTCAACAAGGGTCTGGAGAACAAGATCATAGAGCTGCAGCAGAGGCTGGATGAGAAGGTGGGGAACTCTTTATATGTGGGGGGGGGGGGGGTGACTCTTCATTGGGGTGGGGGTGGGGGTACAGGAGAACAAGATCATAGAACTGCAGCAGAGGTTGGATGAGAAGGTGGGGAAGTCTTAATATGGGGGGGGGGGGGGGTAAGTCTTCATGGGGGCAGGGGGGGGGGTACAGGAGAACAAGATCATAGAGCTGCAACAGAGGCTGGATGAGAAGGTGGGGAACTGTTTACATGGGTGGGGGGGAGGGTAAGTCTTCATGGGGGCAGGGGGGGGTACAGGAGAACAAGATCATAGAGCTGCAGCAGAGGCTGGATGAGAAGGTGGGGAACTGTTTACATGGGGGGGAGGGTAAGTCTTCATGGGGGCAGGGGGGGGGTACAGGAGAACAAGATCATAGAGCTGCAGCAGAGGCTGGATGAGAAGGTGGGGAACTGTTTACATGGGTGAGGGGGAGGGTAAGTCTTCATGGGGGCAGGGGGGGTACAGGAGAACAAGATCATAGAGCTGCAGCAGAGGCTGGATGAGAAGGTGGGGAACTCTTTATATGGGGGGGGGAGAGGGTAAGTCTTCATGGGGGCAGGGGGGGTACAGGAGAACAAGATCATAGAGCTGCAGCAGAGGCTGGATGAGAAGGTGGGGAACTCTTTATATGGGGGGGGGGGGGGAGAGGGTAAGTCTTCATGGGGGCAGGGGGGGTACAGGAGAACAAGATCATAGAGCTGCAGCAGAGGCTGGATGAGAAGGTGGGGAACTATCTTCATGGGGGGGGGGGGGTAACTTCATGGGGGGTGGGGCATCACAGGAGAACAAGATCATAGAGCTGCAGCAGAGGCTGGATGAGAAGGTGGGGAACTCTCTTCATAATGAAGGGTGGTGACTTAATGATTATAGAGGGAAGGCTGGTAGTTTACATAAGGAAGGTGGGATATTCACTTAATTACAGGGATTGTAGGCAGCGTAAAAAGATTTGGGCAATCATTTAGTCAGTCGCTACATAAACAAAAAAAGTTTGGTCATCCACAGCTTATCAAATATTTTAGACGGCACTAAAAATTACTTGACGATATTAAGTATCAGAAAAAGTTTTAAAGCCAAATGTACACACACAGTAAACTTAGAGCACCTGTCATGTATGTCTTTACACACATAGTAAACTAAGACCACCTCTCATGTATGTCCCTACAGGCCAAGGTAGCCCAGCAGGCACAGATCCTGGAGACAGAGATGGTGAGGATGAAGGAGCAGATGAACAGGCTGAGGAGTACAGAAGAGGAGGCCAAAGTTTCATCCAACAAGTTGGTGGACATGGAGGTAAGGCTGGCTGGTGCATTGGTGGGCTCAGGAGTCAGTGGAGTCAGTAGTCTGTGAGTCAGTGGAGTCTAGTCTTTTGAATGAGTCAGGAGGTTGGTGGTCAAAGGGTTGGTAGTCATTGTTGCTGTGGGGACGATACATTCTGTGAGTCAGTGAAATCAAAGTATATTTCAGTATTTTTTGAGTCAGTGAAGTTGTCATTTAATAAGTAGAGTTGAATCAGTAGTCAGTAAGGGTTAGCAGTTACTGAAGTCAGTATTAAGTGGGTCTGATCACGAGTAGCCTTGCTTCAGTTAAGTTACTATCATATGAGTCCATGGAGTCAGAAGCACACAAGTCACAGTTAGCATTTATGAGGGGGCAGAATCAGTTGTATGTGAGTTGGATGACTAGCAGTATTGCTTTAGTTTAGTTAATATCATGCGAGTCAGTAGTCTGTGAGTCAGGATTAGCAGTGGCAGAGTCACTATTATGTCAGATGACATATTATTAATATCCTGTTAGCCAGTGGTCAGTAGTTTGAGTCAGGGTGTTGGCAGTGTGAGACAGCCTAGTATTACTATGTTTGTGCCTTGAAGCCCCACACCTTAGAATTAGACTTAGCACCAGTGTAAATGTTCATGTCATTCAACCTGTATTGACTTGTATCCTTGCATGCATGTAACCACCCACCTTATACTTGACAATTGTGCTTGAACAGGATGAGATCACTAGGCTGAGGGCTGAGCTAGAGAAAGTCAAGGGAGAGAAGCAAGATCTCATTGCTGAGAAGGAACAGCTGCTGCTTCAGCATGACGAGGTGAGGGACTCTCTTATACATCTAGTGCTACATTGGGAACTCTGTACATGATAAATCTAGTGCTACATTGGGAACTCTGTGCATGATAAATCTAGTGCTACATTGGGAACTCTGTACATGATAAATCTAGTGCTACATTGGTGTTTTTTTTTTGTAAAATTGAATATATAAAGTTGTATATAAGTAATAGGTTAGTTCCTAAACCTCATTATAAATGTAGAGATATATTTATTCAGAATTAGATTTTTTAAAAATGTGTTAATAGCTTAGATCAGGGGTCTCCAAACTACGGCCCGCGGGCCGCATGCGGCCCGCGATGTCCTCTTATCCGGCCCGCGGAGATCTTTTTGTCCACGAAAAAACCGTGTGTTGGTGATGGCTGAGGAACTTTGCCCAGAAAAATCAAAGACATGCCTGGAAGAAACTGGCACCGAACTGAAATTTGATAGTTAATGCGGCCCTCGGACTGAAAAGTTTGGAGACCCCTGGCTTAGATTATCCACAAAAACATTTTTGTCAACACCACTTTTCTATTGTCTATGGAAATTTCACTAGTCGACCTGCAACCATTATCTTTTGTATTGCCTATGTTGCACTAGTGGCCTAAAACCCTGATGTTTCTGATGTAGTATTCACCCTTGTGATCTCTGTTGTTATGTAGGTGATAAGTGCTATGATTGAAGAAAAGATGGCACTGAAGGAAGAGCTGGACTCGGCCAAGGCTTCAATCAAACGTCATGACGAGGAGACTGATGGTATGTTTTATACAAGGGGTTACCATGGCAACACGGCTTCCCCCTAAATGATTTACACATGGGATTGTCATGTTACCATGGCAATGCAGCTTCCTTCTGAATGCTTTACACAGGGGGAGGGGGGGTTTGTTTATGTTGCCATGGCAACACAGCTACCTACAGACCACACTTCTGTTCTAGGCTACCCTTTTTTATTTCTTATTGTACATCACACAAGTTAGTAAAACTCTAACTCAATGTTTGCTGTGTAGAAAAATTATTGTGTTGATGAATGTACCAAACTTTTTGTTTCCCGCCTCAACCAGAGTATGTGAAAGAGAAGATTGAGGCAGCCAAGAGACTGCTGATTGAGGAGTTTGAATCAGAGCGGGCCCACCACCAGAAGTATGTGAAAGAGTATGCCAGGCTTCAGCAGAGGCTGGAGAACTTGAAGGGAGAGATGCAGGTATGTGATGGATCAAACTAGGGGGGGAGGGTTATAGGTCAAAGGGCATGGGGCAATGTACTTAGTCTAATTAGAGACTAGAAGTGTCTCGTCTTCTTCTTCGTTCTTAATTTTTAGTGTTGGAAGGGATCCAGCCTTATCTGCAAGAGGGTTTGAACTCGAGACTTTTTTCAAATTTATCAACCATGAGCTTTTGTTGACTCGACCATGCTTCCATCACAATTAAGAATACGAGTCAACTGGTTATGCGCCATTGAGGCCATTGACTCCGATTTCAGCCTGCTTTTCTTTTTGGATTTGCTTCCATAGCCTTTGTCCAACCAAGAACAAACTACAAGACAGCAGTTGTTTAATTTTAAAGTTGTCTCTCCTAGAAGAGTGGCTGTGATCAGATAACGAGCCTCACCTGCCCGATAGGAGTGTCTAATTTGCAGTCAATATGATGTTACCTTCTGACTTGACCTTCTCAGGTACTGACCAGCCCAACCAAGGGACACCACCGCTCACCCTCCGACATCAGCGCCATCAGCCTAGAGTCCTACAGCAGCAGCGCTGCGGATAATGAGAGGAGGGAGGAGGAAGAGGTAAATGTGTGTGTCTTTTTTTATTGAGGGGGGGGGGAGGTAAATGTGTGTGTCTTTTTTTATTGAGGGGGGGGGAGGTAAATGTGTGTGTCTTTTTTTTTATTGAGGGGTGGGGAGGTTGATGTGTCTTTTTTTATTGAGGGGTGGGGAGGTTGATGTGTCTTTTTTATTGAGGGGTGGGGAGGCTGATGTGTCTTTTTTATTGAGAGGTGGGGAGGTTGATGTGTCTTTTTTATTGAGGGGTGGGGAGGTTGATGTGTTTTTTAGTAAGGGGAGGCTGTAGGAAAAAATTTGAATCGATTTTTCTATTAAAAAAAAGAAGTATTTTGTCCCTTAAACCATACAGTCTTAAGATAATCTCTGTTAATTGATGTTGTTTTTTTGGCATGCGTGGGTGTGTTTAATTGATTACAGTGCCAATAGTCTATACTCTTGATGCCCACACCACTTGTCCTAAGTAAAGTAAAAAAAAAGTTCCCTTGTCAAACCTGACGGTCTATAGGGCAAGTGAAGTTGAGTTCACCTGTTTCTGTGACTTCGGCATATGAAGGGATAATGTGGTCAGCACAATGCCGAGTCACCTTTACTATCCCTAACATGAGTTAGGTACTCAGGGACATTCTACTGACATGAATCCGGATTCGAACTCGAGACTTTCTGGTTAGCAGTCTAGCGCTCTGCTACTGGGCCACGCTGTCCCATCCTGCCCTAAGTATGGTGTGTTTAACTGATAACTTTGGCCATTGTGCTCTACACCCTGTTGATGGTCAAACCTCTTGTCCTAAGTATGGTGTGTTTAACTGATAACTTTGGCCATTGTGCTCTACACCCTGTTGATGGTCAAACCACTTGTCCTAAGTATGGTGTGTTTAACTGATAACTTTGGCCATTGTTCTCTACACCCTGTTGATGGTTAAACCTCTTGCCCAAAGTATGGTGTGTTTAACTGATAACTTTGTCCATTGTTCTCTACACCCTGTTGATGGTCAAACCACTTGCCCTAAGTATGGTGTGTTTAACTGATAACTTTGTCCATTGTTCTCTACACCCTGTTGATGGTCAAACCACTTGCCCTAAGTATGGTGTGTTTAACTGATAACTTTGACCATTGTGCTCTACATGCTGTTGATGGTCAAACCACTTGCCCTAAGTATGGTGTGTTTAACTGATAACTTTGACCATTGTGCTCTACACCCTGTTGATGGTCAAACCTCTTGTCCTAAGTATGGTGTGTTTAACTGATAACTTTGTCCATTGTGCTCTACATGCTGTTGATGGTCAAACCACTTGCCCTAAGTATGGTGTGTTTAACTGATAACTTTGACCATTGTGCTCTACATGCTGTTGATGGTCAAACCACTTGCCCTAAGTATGGTGTGTTTAACTGATAACTTTGTCCATTGTGCTCTACACCCTGTTGATGGTCAAACCACTTGTCCACAGGACCAGGGCTATGACACAGCTGCCAGGAAACATGAGGTCAAGAAGTTGGGCAGTGCACCTGCACCAGAGCCACCTACTGGTGAGACAGTGGAGAAGGTAAGGCTCAACTCTTGTCTCTAGAGGTCATGTTTAATTCATGTTCATTGCTATCTAATCTGGTTACATTATTCAACTTTAATCTAATAGTGGGAGACACTGATTTCTATTGGTTTTTCTATCACCCACTATTACTAGACTTGTCCCTTTTTTTATCAATTTTTAAATTCTTAGTTGAAATAATGTTTTTAGAAAATATTGAATATACAAAGTTGTATATAAGTAATAAGCTAGTTCCTAAACCTCATTATATTTGTAGAGAATTATTTATTCAGAATTATGTATAGATATTTTTAAAAATGTGTTAATAGCTTAGATTGTCCATAAAAACATTTTTGCCAACACCACATTTCTATTGCCTATGTAAGCTACACCGGTCAACCTGCAACCATAATCTTTTGTATTGCCTATTTGATATTGAAGTTTGTTATTTGGTGAAGGTTTTGTTGTTTCCTTCAGAGCTCCATGTTTTGAGAGAGTTATTTCCCTTTATAAATCTAGACTTGCTGTTTTTTCTTTCATAGTTCCATATTTATGAGAGAGTTATTAGATCAAATTTTTACCTTTTCCACAGAAAGCTGAAGTGGTTGAAAATGTGGACATTGGCCTGGTGTTGAAGCTACAGAACAAGGTAAAGGACCTAGAGAGAGAGAAGAAACAACTAAGGGAGAAAATTGAAAGCCTGGAGGAGGATACATCAAGGGGAGCAATCATCTCTGATTCAGCTTTTGATGCACTGAAGGTAGGTCCTGGGTTGTGTGGCAGTCTTTTTACTGTTGTTTATTTTCTGTTCAACTCTTTAAAAATCAATTACAAGGATTGATGCATTTAATATTAGTTTTGGCCTACTTAAAATATTCCCTGGCATGTGTTGTAAATTTGTTTATTGCCTGTTTGCATTTTTGAATTCCTCAATACTTAATGTATTTGCTAATGTATTTCCTTAGTCCAAATATAAAATAATTCAATCTCAGAATTTAGCTCACCTTTGATTTATCAAAATATTACCCTACTCCCCCCTTGTTTCAGAAAGCTTATTTGATCTAGGAAGTGTCAATATTGAATGCCTGATCAAATACTGCCTTTCTATTTAGTTTTTTTTTTTTTTCTACTTTGATGTTGTCTCACCAAAACAGATTTTATTTTGATTCATATTTTTCACAACCCATCCCAACTTTTATCCACCCTTTCTTTTTTACAATTAGTAAATGAAGTTGCTTTTTTTTTTGTTTTTGTTTTTGTTTTGTCAGTACAGAAAACCTCCCACTTGGAAAAAAAAATCACTAATTAAAACAGTAGTAGATACAAGTAAAAGAAATATTTTTTGGGCATGGTAAAATGAAGATATACAATAAATTGTATACATTTTAACCCTGAACCAACACTTTAATTTTGTTTTGGTTGTCTCCCATATCATTGATTTTACTGTCTTCCTTACTTGTATAGTAGCCTTGTTAGTACCAATGTTGGATAAGTTTAAAGAAAGCAACATTGAACCTTTTGCCTTAATATGGGTGACAAGTTAAATCCTGCAAGTGAAACAACAAGGTAGACAGATGTTTGATCTGTTGCCGATGGTTACTGTCTGGCTCATTGAGTTATCCCTTCTCCTCACCCAACACTTCACATGTGCCTCCCACTTTCAGCAAGAGGTAAGCTCAGAAGATGTGGCCATCTTGATTAAGCTCCAGAAGAGGGTCAAGGAGCTGGAGGCAGTCAAGAAAAAACTGACCAGAGAGCTGGATAAGAGGGATGATGACAAGATGGACAGGGCCGGCTCGTGGACGGAGGATGCGTTTGAAAGTCTTAAGGTGGAACACCCTAGGGGAGATAACTTGTAGCTAGGATAACTCCAGTAACAGCCAGCTTTCTCTAACACTTATTACACTCTTGGTGTGGGGACCACAGCTAGTTTTTTTTTTCTGCTAATGCTTTTTTTTAACATAGTTTTTATAACTGTTGGTGTTGGATATGTATACAGTATTTACTGAAACTGTTTAGACATATTTATAAAAAACTGAAGCAAAAAAAGAAAAGTATGATCTCTCTAATGTAATTTTAAAAAAATGTATTTCCCTTTTTTAATTACAATTGATCCATCTTCTATATGCACTCGTATTTTAGATCACAGATATCTGTTGATTTTTAAAGCTCACATAAAATGTACTCACATACTCATTTCAGTTTTCTGTATATAGGCCAACTATTTTGCTCTTTCTTCTTAATTTTTTTTACATACAATACACATTAATTAGTTAAATAGCCATATAATTTGTATTAACTCTAATTCTTAAGAGCATGCTTCTATACTTTCTTTTTACACTGACTTCTCTATAAACATTTTAAGATACTTATTAGAACATTTAAAACTAATACATTAACATAACTATATTTTCATTACTAAAAAAGAGTTTTTCAGTGTTTAGTTAAAACAAAAGATAAATGGCAAAAAAAATATGATGGGTGTTGACCCATTAGAGGTGTTTGATGATTGTAGCCTCAACATCTACAGAGAAAGATCTATATTTAAATAAGAAAGGACCGTTTGTTGTACTCGTCTAGTAATACAAGCGCTAAGTTAGTATTTTAATACACCTAACTATCTTTGACATATATTTCTATCTTCAGCTTGTCTTATTTTAGCTATTTTATTATCCTCCTTGTTGCTTCACAGCTTAAATATACCAATATGCTGCTTGATGTTGATTGTTTAAAGGTTCATTTAGATGTTTAGGGCTGTTTTCAGCAATGACATTTTCTAATGATAGATTTTCTAGCCCTAGTTTTAATATAAAAAGTCAAATGTTCTCTAACTCAATTTAAATTTTAAAATTAGTTTTTGAAAATATAATGAAATTTTTCTCTCTAGGTGCTAGAGGCCAAGATTTTTACAATTTTTACATTTTTAAAAGTTTTATAACAGTGAAATTTGTTTTCCCAGATGTAATTGTTACAAAGTGAAAAATAATAAAATAATAAAATAAATTGAATGTATTAGTTTTTGAAAAGATTGACAACATTGCAATGTGCCTTCCTTGTGCATGTTGTAAGATGTATTTAAGTTTTTACATGTTTTTTTTAAAAAGAGTTACAAGATTGCAATGTGTTTTCCCAGATGCAAGAGTTAGAGAATGACAATGACAAGCTGAGGAGGGAGGTGGCCAAGCTGATGAAGTCTATAGCAGACACTGTTGACTTTGAGAACACATCCAGCAAGAAAAATGCCTCGAAGGCTGGCCAGGAGTTTTTGGGTGAGCTGCCATTTTGTTTTGTATTGTTTGTTTTTATACCATAAAACAGCACACACAGCCATTTTCTTTTTTGGTGGTTGGTTGACTAATACAAAATACATTACTTGATGTTGTAAAACTAAACTAAATGTACAAATGTTGTATGTAATTAATTAACGTCTATAACTATAAATCTGAACACTGAGTAGGTTACCACAGTTACTTCCCTTACACCTCCAAAGGGCAAGGCATTCCATCTGAATGGGTTTACTCCTCTTAAGTAAACAGCTTCTCACTGAAAATTAAAAAAAAAACATTATTTATGATAAGACTAAAAGAAGAACAAATTTTAATGGTCAAAATAAAAGTTTTAAAATGAGTTATTTTGACCATTGTCCTGCAGTCAACTATTACAGCCCGTTATTGTTATTATTGTTGTAGTTTCAACATCTCCAGATATATTAGTTGTGTATTATCATTGACCAATTCCATCATTTTTTTTTTCTTGTACTATAGACCAGAGTGTAGACCCATTAGAGGTGTTTGATGGTTGTAGCCTTAACATCTACAGATATAATAATAGCATTGTATTATCATACAACCCCATAAGTTTTTTTTTCTTGTACTATAGACCAGAGTGTGGACCCATTAGAGGTGTTTGATGGTTGTAGCCTTAACATCTACAGATATAATAATAGCATTGTATTATCATACAACCCCATAAGTTTTTTTTTCTTGTACTATAGACCAGGGTGTGGACCCATTAGAGGTGTATGATAGTGATGAAATACAAGGTATAATCTGCTTGCCGGAATGGTCTTTCTGTTCTGAGTTTTTTTTTAACTCTGTTTTCATTTATTTTTATTTTTGAGCTTCAACCATTTCTTGAGTTGTTGATCCTTGAATGATTTAACTTTTTAAGAAAAGCTTACCTTGTTTTACTCTTGAGTTACCCTTGGTTTCACTTTGATTTTTTTAAAAATAATTGAAAAGATAGATCATGTTGCATGTTGATCTAAAAACACCAGGGTGAATTTGAATTTCCCAAGCTAATTAGATATATTATGGAATTGATTACCAGTCTAACAGCTGCTAGCATTGCTCTGTGTTCCGATGTGTGTGTCCAGAGACTGGGTTTCTTTGGTCCCTCTAATAGGGTGTAGATCTATTTGAACTCACTTGAGAACCTCTAACAGGGCATAGATGCCACCAAGTCACATCAAATGTTCTACAGTTTTTACATAACTGGTCAAGGCATTGTTTCACCCAGCCAACAGACACCCCCCCCTTCCCACCACCACCTTTAAAAAGGTTTTGATATCACTGAAGTTTTATGGTGGAGGCCCTATGCTCCATAAGGAGCAAAGAGGACTAAGTCAAGTCAAGAAGTTTTATTTAAACAAAGAAAATATTTCTTGATTTCAGCATGCATCTCTATTTGATAATACATTTATTCACTTAAAAAAATGACTAAACTTAGTTTAAATTATAAAGTTCCCATGTTAAGTAGCTAATCTATTTCCTTCTGTTTTATTTTTCTTTAAATATGTTGATTATAAGCATTATCCATGATAATTCAATTCCTAATATATGTAACTGTGTTGATCATGATGATTTTTGATATCTGTAACTGTGTTGATCATGATGATTTATGATATCTGTGTATTTCTCATCTCTCTTCGTCCACTGCCTCACTCTTTGGCCTCATCGTTATCGTCTACCTCCTCCTCCACACTCCACTCTTCCTTTTCTCCTCCTCTGCTCCATTCTCCTCCCTCATCTGTTCCTAAACTAGGCTCCAGTGATCAGATGGATGAGCAACTTTCGACTTTCAAGGGTGAGGACACACACCCTCCCCTCCACACTATCACCCCCTCCCTTGTCCACAGCAACCCCCTCCCCACCCTCACACCCCCCTTGTCCACAGCAACTTTTAAGAGTGAGGACACACCCTCCCGCTCCCCCCTCACCCCCACCCCCTTGTCCACAGCAACTGTCAAGGGTGACGACACACCCCACCCTCTCTTCCCTTACCGCCCTTTTGATTTTGGCTCATCGTATCGTATTTTAAAACAGGAAGTACTAAAAGATGCTTTTTAAAGTATTGTTACAAACACCCAACCTCGCCTAACCCTTACTTAGCCCTAATCTTATTTATGACCCTGACCTATTTCTAAACTCCGTACCAGCGATATCGGTAGAAAAAGACGCACAACTAAATTTTCCTGTCGATGAATTTTGTAAGAATCTAGATCTAGTTGTGAAATATAAACGTGAAATGTATAGCATCCAGTGTTTCTTCCAGACTTTTTTTTCTCCGGGGGGGGGGGGCGCGGACACTGTTAAAAGTTCTATATAAATTTTATAAATTTCATTTCGTTCGGGGGGGGGGGGGCGGTAAAAAATTTCGGGGGGGGGGGGGGGGCTTCGCCCCCCGAAGAGATGCCTGGAAGAAACTCTGATAGCATCCACCACTACCCCTCCTCCAGCCCAAGCCACTGTGCATGATTATTTATTCCATTTGATAACCAGCTGTAGGAAATGAAACCGGATATAATCACTTGCAGACGATACTACAAATGTCTAGCCATAACGTCTTCAATCTGATAAGCGGCAGTCCTCATTAGGCGAAGTCACATAATTCTCCTCTCTCCTTCCCATCCCCCCCCCCCCCCCCTCTACTTTTCTTACAACGAACTCCTATTTTTAAACTGAAGTCTATTAACGGCTCAGTTATTTATAGAATATATTGAGATTCTATGGAAGTCTCGTCTCTTGCGTTTTCACGATTATTTTTCCGTTGTATGACGTCACTTGTGTGGCGCGTGCTATTCCAGTCCCACAGTAGATTTAAATATTTTTTTCTCATATAATAGGGAATTTTTTTTTTTAATATGAACGACGAAATATGGCCCCTGATTTTGTGTCTTGTGTTAGTAGCCGATTTGTAGACTTGAGATGTTCAGTAATAATCCAAACTTATTTCGTTTAGAAAATTCCACTTTTTGATAATATATTATGGAAAACGGAAATACCGCTTTGTTGCTACAACAAAGTTCAAATGATATTTCGTGTGTTAAAAATGAAAGTTGAAAGAAAGCTCTAGATCTAAGTCTACCTCTGTGTTGTTTTTCTCTTTTAAATTATTTATTGCTACTGCAAATTGTCCTCCTTTACTTGGTCTACAAAGTTTACTAGATCTAGATCTAATCAATTCTTCTAGTCTTTTTAGACTACAGTTACAGTACAGTGTACAGTCTTAGTCTTTCTTTACTAAATCTAAGACATCTAGATCTAGATCTAGATCTAGAATCTAGATGATGAAGATCTAGATCTAGCTTCTGTTCTAGATCTAGAATCTAGATCAACTCGGGCTGCCTTACCACACCAGCCTGGCAATGCGGCGTGGATCGTTTAGCTTGTGTGTGATTATTGTGTTGTATTTTAAACTCGCCCTTGTCTACCTGCTACTTAAACCGGAACACACGCCAGTTGTCAACAGTACCCTTGCTGATGCGGGTGACCAAATGCTGTATTGACATAATGTGGTGGGGCTCAATAGGTACAACAGCTCAACATGTTGGGTCATTAAGTTAATACTGTTAATTAGTTTTGACAATTAAAATGGATCCACAATGTGATGGTATTTTATGGCATTGTGCAGGGCCTACCCCTAGAGGGGAATATAAGGAGAGGGGTTTTTAGCTTTTGTTATAAAAATAACTTGGAGAGAGTTGTATTTTTTTTTTGGGGGGGGGGGGGTTGTTAAAGAAATGTAATGTAGCATAAAGTTGCATTTTTTTTTTTACAAATAAAGATATTTAAAACATTGTTACATTAGTGAGAGCTATTAAATGGGGAGTTTAATCTCAGCGCCATCAATTTATGGTTTTTGTGGCTATAGGGGAAGGTGGTGGGGGTAAACTTCAGGTTAAACAGTGTGCTGTCCTTCATAGACAACCCTTTAATTATGGCTAATTAGTTCAACTTAATAATTGATACTTAATGTGATGCTCTCTTCTTTTTATCCTGTCTTTCTCTTGTTGATACTTTGCATCAATTAAAACCTACCTTTCATTTTATTTATTTTTGGAGGCACTTAAGTTTAATGTTTGATCATATCTTAAATACAACATTATCATTTAGTCTGAATAATGTAATAAAGCTCCATCACTAAAAATATTAAATTATTTTAATTTTAAATTCTATAAACTATATTCCAATTACCTTATGCTTGAGACCTTATAAAACTGTGTTAATATAGAAAATTGGCAGAACCCATGACTTTTAAAGTATTTTCATTTTAGATATAAAAACTTGCATTGCAATCTTTATTAAGTGCATTTGGTTATTATTGGCATTGAAAAAAAAAAGTTATTTTATCTGATTTGTTTAGATTTTGTTTTAAAATGTACTCCATTTTCCCTTGTAAAGATAAGCACTTCATGTAAATATGTTAGTCTTATTTCTATCTTATGGTAAGTTGAACCCCAGTCTATCCCCACCTTCCCCCACAATCCATAAACAAATGTTTTCTATACAGATTTAAAGATGTACTATTCTTTTCTAATGTATATATAGATTTAGTCCACATAATTTGTATACATTACTTAATGAATTTAAAGTAAATATTAAAACAGTATAACACTTATTTGTTATGAAATTAACACATAACAGCTTACAAAGTATGCAACAATGTAGAACTTATTTAAAGAAGAAATCTTTTATCATTGCATGGCATAACACAAATGATGTGTACTGTCCTCTTTAGTGATAAGCATAGGTGTGTAGTGATGATTTTAGGTAGATTGTGAATAGCTAAATACTTGGACTACTGTCCAGATAAATACTTGGACTACAGTCCAGATAAGTATTTGGACTACTGTCCAGATAAGTACTTGGACTACTGTCCAGATAATTATTTGGACTACTGTCCAGATAAGTACTTGGACTACTGTCCAGATAAGTTTTTGGACTACTGTCCAGATAAGTACTTGGACTACTGTCCAGATAATTATTTGGACTACTGTCCAGATAAGTACTTGGACTACTGTCCAGATAATTATTTGGACTACTGTCCAGATAAGTACTTGGACTACAGTCCAGATAAGTATTTGGACTACTGTCCAGATAAGTACTTGGACTACTGTCCAGATAATTATTTGGACTACTGTCCAGATAAGTAGTTGGACTACTGTCCAGATAAATACTTGGACTACTGTCCAGATAAATACTTGGACTACAGTCCAGATAAGTATTTGGACTACTGTCCAGATAAGTACTTGGACTACTGTCCAGATAATTATTTGGACTACTGTCCAGATAAGTAGTTGGACTACTGTCCAGATAAATACTTGGACTACTGTCCATATAAGTACTTTGACTACTGTCCAGTATGTTGACCAGTAGTGACCTGCCGTGTTGTTGTGTTCCAGCCCAGTTTGAGGCCATGACAGATGAGCTGGACAGGAGGAGAGAGGAGTGTCTGCAGCTCAAGGCCATGCTGGCAGACAGGACCATCACCACACACTCCATCGCCAGGGAGTCCTACGGCGGCAACGACAACCTGGTCAATGAGGACAATGAGCTGGAGATGGCATATAGGACACAGAAGGACTTGAACAGGTCAGTTGGTTTCACTGGTCAGTTGGTTTCACTGGTCAGTTGGTTTCACTGGTCAGTTGGGGCAGCATACAGGACACAGAAGGACTTAAACAGGTCAGTGTTAGACTTAGTTTCACTTGACTCAGATTGGTGAGATGATCAATGGGACAAGAAATTCTTGAACAGGTCAGTTCTAGTTTTAGTTTAACTAACTGTGGGAAACTCTTGAATAGGTCAGTTCTAATTTTAGTTTGATTAATTCAAGACTCAGTTGCATCAATGAGGTGGCACATGGGACACAGAAAATCTGAGAAGAATAGTCTTACTTTTGTTATTGTTAAATGCACTTCAAAGCATTTAAGTTCAGCAAAGATAATTCAAAATATAATGGACAAAACCTAGACCTATATTGGGTTTATTTAGGTGTTAAAAGTATGCAAGCAACAATACATTTAAAAAAAATGTTACATAGTTATTGTCGACTACCCACACAAATTACTTGTCCACTATTAGATCTGACTTCACTTTAAATCATCAGAGAAATAAAAGTATTTTATTTACTTGGGGTTAAACTCTGGACCTTCAGGTAAGGAGATGTATACTCTACTGTACAACCACTCCCCAACATTCTGAATTCTAATAGAATAACAATTAATTAGTGGATGTAATTACAACACCTGTAAAACACCATACAACACCACCACTTGTCAAATACTAGAATGGAACTCACAGGAAAACAGATAAACAGCAAGATATAATAAAGACATCTGTTGAAAAGGAAATGGAAAAACTGGAATGACATGGCCACAGACCTGTATATTGAATACATTAGAACAAACAGATTTAGCCTTTTGTTTCCTAGCGGAGTATTGGAATAAGGAAGAACAATACAGCTCAAAATTGGAATAAGCAAGGACAACTTAATTCAATAACCTGATTGTCTTTGATATTTTTCATCACAGTCAGCATGTGAAAGATTGGCCTACCCATTGTTAAATGGATTCCCCAAGTGTATTGTGTATTGGCTTTGTTATTTTATTTCTGTGCCGTTTCACCTTTCATAATAACCACAATCAATATTAAAACCTGGTTATCAATTGGTGGGGATGAAGAATCGATTGACTGGCCATGAGTTGGATCAATAACCAATAGATTCAATCACTGTGGCGCTATGTGGGGGGACATCATGGAGAGTCTTAGAGCAGATCATGATGGGGCTTAGACCCGCACATAGACCCTCACATAGACCAGGACAAAAGGACTGGCAGACTCAGACCCTCACTTAGACCCTCACTTAGACCCGCACATAGACCCTCACATAGACTCTCACATAGACCAGGACAAAAGGACTGGCAGACTCAGACCCTCACTTAGACCCTCACTTAGACCCGCACATAGACCCTCACATAGACTCTCACATAGACCAGGACAAAAGGACTGGCAGACTCAGACCCTCACTTAGACCCGCACATAGACCCGCACATAGACCTTCACAGGCAGAGATATTTGGCCACTTTTGACCTGACCGCAGACTTCTGAACTTGATGTTGACCTCTGCTCCACTTATCTCAAACTCTGACCCTGCCTGTACCCCCCCACCACACACACCCTTCATCATTCCCCTATTGTTAAACTGAAGGGGCTACTGGTCAGATCATGTTAAGGTCAGGGCAACTCATCACCAGTGTTATCTACTGAACCAGACTATATCTGGTGGTCAGTATTCTGGTCAGTCTAGCTGATACAACATTTCATTTTGATAAAATTGTTTAAGAAAAAGGTTGTATTCCTACTGACCAATGCTTCGAATATGCCACGTGATCATAACTGTAACTCTATGACCCAGACAGCGGCCTTGGGCAGTGGGCTGGACTAGGCTCAAGTGAAAATTGTTGCCCCAGTTACTTGACCTTTGACCCAGTAGCTGACCGCTTATTTGATGGCTTGAAAATGTTGTTCATTATTTTATCACGCCATCGATAACCTCCTGAGTAGTGTCACTATAAAGTATCGATACAGTCCTTGTGTTTCTAATGTAGCGGCAGTAGTCCAGGACTGTTGGATGGCCTGACAGAATCGCTCCCCGGCTGTACTCGAGTCCACCCATGTACACGTTTACTGGACCGTGTGATGCTGGGTCGGTCAAGCAGAGAATTAGCGCCAAATCTGATCGGCTTGATTGTATACTGGGTAATGGGTTGGTGGGGCTTCGTGTTGTAATTAGGGTTTTTGGGACACGGGGTAATTGATAGTTTAGTTGAATCAGGGTTCAAGTTTGTAGAACGTCCCTGAGTCCACCCAGCTCTGATAGGTACCGGATTCATGTTAGGGAAAATTAAGACGGCTGGACATAGTACTGACCATACTATCCTTTCATATGCCGAGGTAACTGAAACAGGTGAACTCTACTTCAATTGCCCATCAGGTTCGAAATGGAATTTTAGTTTCTAATTGACAGTTTGATTTGATACACGGAGTAATTGTCGGTTTGGGTTCTTATAATAACTAGGGTTTCGGGTAGTGTGGTTTTATAATTTACACGTACGTGGTAATGATTAGTGATGTTTTATTCACGGGATAATAATTAGTGATGTTTTATTCACGTGATAATGATTAGTGTGGTTTCATCTAATAGCTTAAGGTTAAGTTGTATGAATTGAAACTGTTACTGTGACTTGCGTTGTTTTACGCTGTTAGCTCTCTATAGTCTCAGGTCTGTGTGTTATTCTAGCATGCACTCAACGACTGCTGGATTTATTTATAGCATGTTTATATCTTAGCACCTCTCTAGACATGCACTTAACGACTCCTGTATTTATTTATATTTATAGCATGTTTATATCCTTCTAGCACCTCTCTAGACATGCACTCAACGACTGCTGTATTTATTTATAGCATGTTTATATCCCCTCTGAGACGTTCAGACAAGTTGTCGCGTAGTTGGTCTATTTATGGCAACAAATATTGGTAGTAATTGTGTTGAATTATTTAGTTAGAGAATAGCGAATCGGGGCGTGGTTTACTAACGTAGTAATCGAACGCTGTTGAAACGATGCCTAGAAGTTACACATAAGTGTGAGAGGTTTTTTTGGTTGTGTGGTATATTGTCTTATCATTTGTAGTGGTTGTAAGAGATAGTGGGATGTGGTTATATATTTAGTGCTTCTTTCAGACATTTTTCTCGGGATGGGGGGGGGGTGTGCCCTATCTCTTGTAGTGGTTGTAAGAGATAGTGGGATGTGGTTATATATTCAGTGTTTCTTTCAGACTTTTTTCTACGGTAGGGGGGTGCCCTATCTCTTGTAGTGGTTGTAAGAGATAGTGGGATGTGGTTATATATTCAGTGTTTCTTTCAGACTTTTTTCTACGGCGGGTGGGGGGGGGGCGGACTAAATTTTCCTGGGGTGGCGGACACTGGTAAAAATAAAAAGTATATAGGGGAGGAGGAGAGATCCCCTCCGAAGAGATGTCTGGAAGAAACTGTATATATTGAGGTTTAGACTAGTTGTGATAGATACGTTGCTGCCGTTTATTTATTGATTTTGTTCATTATGAAATTTTTTTTACTTAAATGTGATGTCAGAGTAGGGTGTCTAGTTGTTGGTCGTGACATTCTCATGTCATGTCTGTCAGATTTAAGGGTGTGATTGACTTGACTGTGAGGTCATAGCTGACTTGTGAGGTGATGGCTGACTTAACTGTTAGGTCATAGCTGACTTAACTGGGAGGTGATGGCTGACTTAACTGTTAGGTCATAGCTGGCTTAACTGGGAGGTGATGGCTGACTTAACTGTGAGGTCATAGCTGACTTGTGAGGTCATGGCTGACTTGTGAGGTCATAGCTGACTTAACAGTGACGTCATAGCTGACTTAACAGTGACGTCATAGCTGACTTAACAGTGAGGTCATAGCTGACGGTGAGATGAAAGGTCGTGATTGACTTAACAGTGAGGTCACTCCTAACTTTTAGCTGACTTCCTGGTTATTTTCGTCTCGGTGTCGTTCAGCTATTAATAGCCCATGTCCCTTGTCTCAGCCCTGATTGACCTTTACCTGTCGTCTCACCTGTGATTATTGTTTCCAGTCGTAAATTAAAGAAGCCGGTGCCGCCTCCCACTAGACGAGTCAGCTGTAGATACAATAAGAGCAGGCAGTTTTTTTTTTGACGATTTTTACCTCCCCCGTCCCCTCCGTCACACATCGTCACAAAAAGCCAGACCTCCCCTAAAATGACGTTACACATCAGCTTACACCCCCACCCCCTCAAAATTGCAGTTGAATTTTTCTTAAAACATCGATATTTTTTCCAAAATCTTGTCAGAACTCTGTCAGCAAAGAGTATTTTAATCAATTCCTATTACAATTTATTAAAACAGTTTTCTAAAACGTGAAATAACGGCAGAAATTCGTTTTATAACATTAATTTTTGTCAATGCGAAAATGTGACGCCCCACCATGTAACCCCCCCCCCCTCCCCCTAATCACACACCGTCACAACATTACGGACCCCCTCCCCCCTTGAGTGTGACGTCATTTATGGACGACCCCCCCCCCCCTAGCTATACCACGTGTGGGGTGACTTAATTCAGCCACCGTGAACATCCTCAGGGCCCAGTCAACCAGTCTGTATTGTAAGCTGTTGACCCGCTGTGGTATGGGATGATACAATAGGATTAGTCCAGTTGATGCTCATCTGCGCTGACCGTTGACCAAGGTTTAGATGTTATTCGCGAAATAGCTGAGACATTTTTTTTTCTTACCTCCCCTTGTGGGCGTGGTTTTTGCGAGATGCGTAGAAAAAAAAATCCCGACTTGAAAAAGGGGACACAATCACGCCGTTAACCGTGCGGGAAGGGAGGGGAGGCGATCTAAAGGTGTCGTCAAGAAAAGGGGAACCTAAGACGGCCGTGTTGTGGCATGTCGCCCGCGCGGACGATACCCCGCGGCGTCGTAATCGTCGCGAGGCTCCCTACGCTAAACGCTTCGTACTCGTCTGTCACGTAGTGTCGATACCGTCACGT